GTAAATTTTCCAAAAATCTGGAGGAAAACTGCTTTCCACAGAATGAACTAATAAAACTTGAAGTATTTTGTGGTATTAAAGCAGTAACCACAATTAATAAATATAACCTATTAGCTTAATCCTACAGGCTCTTGAAAATCCTGAGGTGAAGTTCAAGAATGACAAGACATTTTACACACCATTTGATGCTCCTCATTTTCCTACATTTTGGTTGCAAACATCAGCAAGAACAGCTATTTGCTGTTCTCTTCCATCTGCTGGCTTGCATAATTATATACAAAACTGTGACTCTTCACAAAGGTGTTGGATTATCCATCTCCCTGATCTCTGTGATTTTATGCTAGAATCTTGCTGACTATAAGGCAATTCAAAATTAAGGTTAGACTTAAATACCTTCCTGAATCAAAGCCTGGAAAATTCCTGCAATGCATGCTTCATAAGGATAAGAAAAGGTTGGCACTTTACAGTAAAAACAATTACTTCGCATTAAAATTTATTTTTATCTAAATTCATTTTATAAAGTATCCTAAATACGTGTTTCATTGTGATTCTCATCCATGTCACAACTTTAGAAGAATATTTTACTGTCCTCAAGCCACTAGTAACAATCTATTCCTTTAGATTTTGCAATGTCTTTTCCCACCAGTATTAGTGCCTACTTCCAGGTGAAGTATTTCTCTCCTGATGTAGGATTTGGTAAATTTCTCAACTCCTGAGGTATTTTTTCCCCCCTAGAAGTAACTTCTGAGTCAAACCAAAGTACCATAGCACAATTAAATAGCATGCTAAGCTGATGTTTGCAGAGAAAACTTTTGAACTGTCTGAATTACTGTCTAGCTCATTTGTCTGGTACAATAAAACTATTTAAGAATTAAAATAAAATGCAATGAGACTTCTAATACAGCAGCATAGAGGCCAAATAAGGCCAGTACAGCCAGCTCTATAAAATGAAGGTCCTGCCAAGGAACTAGATGTAGCTAGTGGAGTGTCTTCTACAGCTTGGCATTGGGGCACTTAATGTTCCATACACAAAAGACAAGAAAGTGTATTAAAGTATTTTTTACCTTAGCAGACAAATGCATTCCTGTATTACAAATAGTGTAGCGAGCAGGGCTGGGGAAAGGACTGGCACTGATGAGGTGACACCTCAGGGTCTTGTGCTCAGTTCTGAGCCCCTCACCTCAAAAAGGATTTTGAAGGGCTTCACCATGTCCAGAGAAGGACAACAAGGCTCATGCAGCATCCGGAGATCATGTCTTATGGGAAACACCTGAGGGAATTTAGGGTGTTTTATCTTCAAGAAGTGGAGGCTCAGGGGAATCCTCATTGCCTGCTACAACTGCCTGAAAAGAGGCTCTTACTAAGGTGAGGTCCAGTACCTTCTACTGTGCCTACAGAGAGGAGACCCAAGGAAATGGTCTTAAACTGAGACAGGGCACATTCAGATGAGATATTAGAAACAATTTTTTTCACTGTTAAGGTGGTCAGGCACTGGAACAGGTTGTCCAGGGAGGTGGTGGAATCACCATCGCTGGAGGTGTTCTAGAGGTATATGGATTTGGCACTGGGTAATATGGTTTAGTGGTTTAGGGCTTGCACTGGCAAATGCTGGGCAGACAGTTGGACGTGGTGATCTTAAAGGCCTCTTGCAACCTTGATGATTCTATGTCTTCTTTGAATTTTTCAGTCCATCTTTCTCTTCCTGTGATAAGGTAAGTGGATGCTGTGATAAGGTAAGTGGATGCAATGCACTGATAGCTCAAATTCAAAAACCTACTTACGTACAACATTTTCAGAGTACAATCACTCATTCTGATAACATGATTAGAGATTATGTTAGAATCTTATGATCAAGATTTTTGTCTTTTAGAGACATAACAAATTATCAATGTTGAGTAACTCAACTCTGTCTGTAGGAATGCATCCTTGTAGCATGGCCAAGTTCCAATGGGAGAGATGCTGCACTGGTTACAAAGGCTATCTAGCATCAAAACTTCCTGCCTAAGCTAACACAATAACTTCCTACCTAAGCAGCTTTTAAGTAAGGAAAAGAAGATTTTAAGAAAGGAAACAAAAAAAAAATTCCTATTGAATACTTCTTAGTATCACGCAAATGTGCAATTACAATTTACCATCTTCAGAAAGCTGCCCCAATAGTCTCTAAGCATTTGAGTTTACAGATTCATGCAAGCCACCAGTTTACTAACTACTCAGTGGTCAATTACATGCTAAGGATAAACAAAGAAAGCTACTTACACTGCAGAAGACAAATGTACATTACTGAGTTCAAGAAATATTTACAGAACTCCCTTGGTAAGGACTCCAGCTAAGAATGGAATGCTGAATCTAAGTCTGGAGTACTGTACACAATGTCGCAAGAACAGTGCCACGGCCAAGCAGCACAGCTGCAGCAATGCTGCTGGTACCAAGTCGCTCAAAGCTCTCACTTCACCCACCACAGCAGGAGGCAGCTGACTACACGATTCCTAGATGTTTTGCTCTAGTGTTCAGGAAATGGTTTGGATCAGACACCCCCACATTAGGGTTGAAGAGCTATGACAAAAATGTTCTATCTAAATGTTCTGTCACTCTCAAGAAGGCTAATTTATTTCTTCTGGAGTTTTTCCTATAAATCTTTAGCTTATCCTGAAAGCAGAATACTACCATTAGCCATAACCATGATCTTACTAGCAACAAATACCATCAGTAAGGAAAATCTGAGACATACTTAATGATGACTATGAATTGTACATATTATGTAAATATAATGTATAATATGTAACTTTAGCCTGTACTGATTTTCTTGGCCTGTTTGACAGGGAATTTCCTCTAGATGCTTTGTATTTAAGGACGAAAATAAGAGGGGTTTTTTTTGTGCGATACTGCTCATTTCACATAAGCTTACTTTTACTGCCTATATAGCAATTGGCTAAGTAGTTACAGAAGTTACAGAAACATCAATATCTTCATTGTAGCCACTTCTGACCTTTTCCAGAAAATTCTAAAAGTCAATCTTTCTTACAAGTGAAGTAGTGTCAAAAATTAATGAAATACATTAGTTTATTTAGATCAGTGGGGAAGAAGCAAAATTTAACATAGCAAGTGATTATTTTTCCCATTCATTTCCTTATAATTCAAAAAGAGGAAAAATCAAAGGTCTTGTAGTTTCAATGAAGGAAATATTGTTTACTGTTTCCTAAAAATCTAGACAAAACCTGCAAAAATAGTATAAAAATAAAGTAAGCGATCTACTCCTTCTTCCTCCGTCTTAACTCACTCAAATCAAGTTCTATAGTTCTCAGACTACTGAATTTTCAAACTTTAAAAAAACCCCACTTTCTGAATGGGTGAGCTAATAATCTCTTAAAGTATGAAGATAAATACTTGAAATACTGTTTTTTCTCTTAAGCCATTATCAATTATTTAATATAAATTAACCTTTTTTGGGGACTTTTTATAAATATTATTTATAAAGATTCTCTTTTGCTTCTCCCATTTTGCATATTCTCTTTCTTTTCCAGCTAAAAGTAAGTATGACACAAAATTACGTCTGTTTTCTTCAACAGCCTTAAAAACTGACAAAAACACAGTTAAAAAACTTAGTCTTCATACATCTCAGAGATGTGCACATGCATTAAGAGTGCACGTGAAGAAGTAAGTGTTGGTACAGTCCACTGACAAAACACAAATTAAATCACGACAAGAAATTAACAAAAAAATTTAAGCCTACCATACTATGAATATTTCTAAAATTTATTTTACTGATTTCTGAGTAGTTAGCTATAATGCAGCATTCATGAAAATTCAGACTTTAAGGAGGTAAATACCACCTTCTTGATGTACAGAAGGTACATGTAATGTACGTATTTTCAGATATACTATAATACGGATTAACAGGTAGCACTGACAGATGAAGACACAGACCAAGAATCCACATCGGCATAATTAACAGCAGCCACGTAGGTACTTTTCCCCTTGTTCTTAATTTGCCTGAAAAAAAGCATTTGCATCTCCTTTCTTTTTGGCAACAACTCCATGCCTTTTGTTAACATAACTTGACGATGATTTGAGATGATTCCCACAATTTATACTAAGTCTAGTAATACTCCAAATGCTGTTTTAACACAAATGACCTGCTACTTGCACCAAGGCTACAAGCTCCTAAATAGAGTGCAGTGTAACTCCCCAAGTTTTTTAATTTTAGCATTTCTGCACAATTAATGTAAGCAGCCTAAGACAGGCAACTCACACAACAGGTGTTTCTTTGTGGTTATTTTTGCCATGGAATTTAAATAGAAGCGTAATGAGTACCGTGTTTCATATTCAAATTATAAAGCAAGAGGGTATTATTGTGGTAATCTGTACCAACTCCCATGAGAGTTTGGGGAAGTCCTGTAATTTAATGCCCATCTCAACCATGAGTGATTTTTTCAATCTCTTAATTTCCAAACTTCAATATTTTCTGCAAGAACTGTCAATTTCTCCAAAGCTGATTTTTGCACACTGACAGCTACTTCACTCTTCTTTATTCTATGTACCTCATTTTTGTGTGACCTGGTCCATTTCATCTATCACACTGACAGTCCATTAACAAAGTTTTATTTCATTACAGAACCAAATAATTTAGTAACTCCTGTGAAAGCTAAAAACTTTTCTTAGTTCATCATAACGCTTAAACTGATGGCAGTCAGCAAGAAACAGACTACTTCAGTAGTAGTCCTATCACCAGGAAAACGGCACAGAGTTCTACTTGTCCTGCCTGATAGCCCTTTTATACAAAGAAGGATGATACTACTTTCATAGAAATAAGGATAATATTAGTCTTCTGACTTTGTTTCACAATACTAACTCCTATGAGAATTCACTAAAAGCTACTTTTAGGAGTTGTCATCTCTTACCTGCATGATCTTCTTGTCTCAGGTGAATAATTTTTCCACATATCATTACTCAAGTGAGTATAATCTTCTGGGAGAACAGAAACAAAACAATGTCTCTCCTACCTTCAAAAGCTGCTTGCCAATGGTTGGACTCATTTTTTCATCCACCATAAGAATTACTATTCCTCTGTCATCCATACCTCGGCGTCCTGCGCGACCTGACATTTGAATGTATTCACCTGAGGATATCTGCAATAAAATGAGAAAAAGAAATTAACAAACATCAAAAAAATTGCAGGAACTCATACTGTGCTGATTACCACTGCACAGTAAGTGACATGATGTACAAAAAGAAGAGTTATCTCAGTTCTCAAACAGTTATCACAGATAGACTTCATTAGTCATACTTACCATGAAACAACAATATAAATCCATGACTATGAACAATGTAAGTCAGCAGTAAAAGCTAACTAATACTCTTATAACTCTGTATCCTGGGGCACCATTTTTAGTAAGCACAAAAACCATTTTACTAATGTCTTTTATAATGAAAGGTTGCTGAGCATGGTGGAGATACAACAGATCTTCAACATACTGATAATGCATCTCGGTCATCTTCAAATAATGCATAATTTCATTCAGGTTATTCAAGAGTAACACTAATACATGATACTGGCTAAAGGAGTATTTTTATGCCTTCTGACTGTGAAATTGAAGAGTTTAAAAACAACTGGGACATGGACAAGAGGCAGCTACAATTGTTTGCCTATGTCTCAGCAAGTTATTAAACAAGGGTTTTGTCACCTGTGGAACTGCATTATCAACAACTCCTCAAGTTTCACCTTAGGTCAGATTTTAAAAACTACTTCAGCAAACTGTGCTAAATAATTTCAGAAGTTCCACACTTCTTCTATCTCAAAGCAAATTCATTCTTATATAGATCTTACAGACACACAGTCAAAATGAATAGTGAAACTGAACAGCCTAAAATAAGGTTGAAGAAATGTTTATTTCATAACTTGCACAGGTCAATTGTCCGTTCAAAACAATTTTCCCACCTTCGAAGGATGAGCCTTAAAGAGGTTCTTATAAAGCTTCGCTGTGATGACTTGTAAGGCCTCATTTTTATTTTAAATAAACCACATACCAAGTTTTAATGTCTAAAATTTTGTAATTATGCAAAAAAATCCTGCTGTAAAAAAACAATACTCTTGCAAAGTCAATGACCTCTTTTCTTGAGTCTGTCAATATTAGTGATCATTATGACAGGACATGAAGCCCATTTATTCTTCAGAGTTCTCTGATACAGAATAAAATATCTGGGTATTACAGTTTTGGAAAAGCTGTGCAGAAGTCCTAGAATAATCCAGTGACTGCTGCTAAACTGTATTTAATTCCCTTTTGATGTATCTAATAAACAACCTCATGGATAATCTGAGGAACCTTGTTTTCCTAAATCTGTGTATGAACTATGAATGGATGAGACACAAAGATTTTTGAAAGAAAAAGTATTTACTACTACATTGAGGTGAACACATTAAGAGTAAATTTAATCCTAATAAGGTTTAAATAATTCAATTATTCTACAGAATCTCTCTGTCACTTACCCATCGGAAATCTTTTCCATCAAATTTACTGGCACTTGTAAACAGCACAGTTCTGGCTGGCATATTAATTCCCATAGCAAAAGTCTCTGTTGCAAATAAGGCCTAAATAAACAGACTGAAGTTAAGCAAGCAAAAAAGAGGATCTCAAGCAAACATGAAAATAGTCAGAGATTGCTACATAAAACCTCTCTGGATTTTAATATATCTGTGCAGTCAATACAGGGAACACAGTCATATTCAATACTTAAAAACTGAACACAAACTATCTTTCTGCCTTTCCTTATTTCTCCTGGGAAAGCAAAAAAACTAAATAGATGGGTCCATGTGAAAAACTAAGAAAGAAAACATAATGGAGTGCAAACTATATTAATCAATAATAGTAATTAATTTCAATATTAAAGTTTGCAAGAAGAAAACAGGAGTTAGCTATCCAAAAAAACCACCACAGCTTTCACCTAAGGTTACATTTTTCTGAGTATTTGTCCTTAGTACAACCAACAATCAGCTTGGTAAACATCCGCAGTCATTTATAGGAGAAAGATGTAACATAAAATAGTTGAATAAAGTATTTAAGTTAGACACTGAAAGTTCAAATACTTGTAAATAAAAGCAGGAACACTTAAAACTACAGCTGCAATTGTGTAGATCTCTACTGTAAAACTAGCATATACCCTGAGCTAAGGCATGCTTGGATTTTCAGGATTACCAGCCTCATATTCACAACAAACTACAGATGGACTTGAAAAATACCTTTATTAGGCCCTCTGAGAAAAGGATTTCTATGGTTTCTTTTAATATAGGAAGCAAACCACCATGATGAATACCAATTCCTCGCTTCAGAAGGGGAAGCACATGTTCAACCTGGAAAGAAAGATACAAAAGACCAGCAAACAAATTTTAGCATTTGTTACTAAAACTTGTATGGAAAGCCTCAACACTGCCCTTAGCATTCATGTAATTCACTATTCCCCAGTTTAAAGTAAAATAACTACCTGTTCAATCTAGTAGTATTTTGCTTAGAAGCTTGTATTTTTCCACTGCAGAGATGGGAAAACATCACTATGCATAGGCATGATACAATAAATTAAATTGGAGATGCATCAATACAATGCAGCTTTTTGAAAGCCTCAACAATCAGTAACAGGTAAGGGCATACAGCACTTCCACTTGAACTATTTCCAGACTTTTTAAACCCAGGTCTACCTCTTTACAAACTCTCATGTTTATTTCAACATAATTGGAAAAAATGAAACAAGGGGTAGGAACTCCACTGTTAATTCTGACATACATCATCTGCTGGAATTGCAAGTGGAAGGAATCCTTATCGCCTCTTTCATAATGACAAAAAGCAATGCAGGAGATACTAAAACCTGGCGAGACGAATTAGATTATCCAGTTTTATAATTTCTGTACCCACCCCCTACACAACACCCACAACTTTACAAGTTGCAGAAAACAGGACAGCAGCAATTCAACTCTATTCAAAAGAATGTTTTTCAAATTCCACTCACCTGAGGAAGCTTTTTGTCTTCATCTGAGAGACAATCAATTGCATTATTGAAGACTTCTTCAACCATTTTTTTTTCTTCATCTAAGAAGGCAATTTGTCAGTTGTTACAAAATGAAGAAGGCTAATGCCAGATGTAAATAAAGTGGTACCACATTCTAATATCTACGTAAGTGTACAATAAAAATTGAATGGAATACTGTGAAGTCTACACAAAACCACCCACATCTGGTGAGGCAATCAAGACTTCAATAAGACTAGAGGAGTCAGATGGTAACCAGAAGCAGAAGATCAGGAAAAAGAAAACTAGAACAAACCTGTCATAACAGTTCAAACATCAGCCACTTTCAAGCCTGGGATTTATCAGTCTTATGTGCTCCCTATTTCTTAAATCTGTGCTGTTCCTCTACTACCTACTAATCCCTGTCTGCACGGATATAGAAGCTCTTTCCTGTTAACTCTTAAAAGTTTACATCCTTACCACTAAGTAGTACAAATATCAAGAATATACACTCAAAGGTGTGCTTCTGAAGAAAACATGAAAACACACCTCTGCATTTACACATATCTTTAAATTTTCTGACAGAAATATCTGCATTATTCTGCCACACCAAACCAAAATGTGCAAAGACTGGAGCAAATATGCAGGCAAGAACCTTGAACAGCTCACAAACACGAAACAGTACAACAAATTTACAAAAAAAATCCTTATTTTTGTTAAAACTCTAGATTTCCAAGAAGCACTGAGCTGAAACTTACTTGCAAAGCTTGGTCTTAGCCAAAATTTAAAAAATCACCTTTTTTTCTGGTTTTTACTTTGAGAAGCAAGGGGAAGAAGGAAATAAAGAAAACTGGATTGCATTGTTGAGAAAGAGCAGACTAGTGGTTTGTTATACAGTTGTCTGGACTTTGCAAGGATAATTTCTAATGAATGTAACATGAAAATTTTGGGAAATACTTTTTTATGATCAGTCTTCTCCCACTACAGAGAGAATCTTCTAGGAATTCTGGTGTTATTATTACAATAAATGGCATACTGGAGCAAGAAACAGAGTTTAAAATCAAAGAACAGTTTGACACTGTGATGATGACCAATTACTCTGTGCACCAACACCTTCCTACAGAATGCAGCTCAAGGCACCAGCATAATAAATGAAAAAAGTGGTATGTATTTTCCTCTTGGTTCTACACAAAATGTTCAACAGGAAAAGTAGTATTTCACATCAAACTGAATCTGTGAATAGAATACAAATGGATTTATCTGTACCTGTATTGAAATCCAACTTTGTCATCTGAAGTGCATAGGCTTCACAGTCTTTCTTACTGAAGCTGAAAATAATCACAGGTTGGAAATTCCTTTCCATGATCATCTTCACAATCTTAAAAACATTTGAAGGACCTGCAGAAAGATTTCATTAATTTAAATTAAATTTTACAACAAAAAGTATCTTATGGAGTAATTGAGACACAAGCACAATTTGCATAGAATTTTGAAAAAATACATACCAAAAATTACCTCAGAATGGGTTCAAACTCACCTTTTGTTCCTCCTTTCCTTCCTTTCTGATCCCCTTTTGCTAAGTCTCCTGCATCTCTAAGCACCTGCATTGCGGTATTAAAATTATCTTCTCTGAAATCTCCCTAGACATAAAGCACAAACGTTGTAAATAGTTACTTACACAGCCCACTTAAACATACTTAGTGCTTTGCACAGTCAGTACCAATACCCCACATATACACAGGTAAGAGGACAAAAACAATGCATAATGTATCAAGAGAGTTTACTAGGCCAGTGTCACAGCTCAGAATTGCACTGGTGTGCCTCTGCAGTTAACGCTCATTGCTCTATCCACCACCCTACCCACCGTGCCAGACCTGGTGAATGGCAGAGTATTAAAACTGACTTTTAGGAATCTCCACACAAAACTACACTGCCCAATGAAGGAGTATTTTCAAATGCTGCACTACTGTTTGCAGCATTAGTAACTGCTGAGTGAGCTAATGATAAATCTTAAGCAAGTTTTTAGTTCAAAAACAGCTAAAGAAATGAAAATATTTTGTCCCTCAACTAAAGTCAAATTTACATGCCACTATGTTTTATTTTGAGCGAGAAATAGTACAAGGAACTTCAACTACTTTGCAGATTTACAGAAAGCAGTATGAATTATAGAAAACAAACAAGGATGTGGGCACTTAAGACATCTCAGGGAAGTATTACTCAGCTGATTGCATGACATTAGATAACAAAACCAATTTCTTGTGTAAGACTCCAAAAATCTAAAAGCAGTTCAGAGATATACTTAACAAAAACATCCTTTATACTGCCTATCCAAATTTTGCAAGAGCTCAAGCTTTTCACTATTAAGTGAATAAAACAATCTTTCAGACAAACTGAGCATTCCTTACATTTTCATCAACAACCAGATGGAGTCCATCTCCTCCTGCTGGAAATATATAATGCTGCAGTGGAGTAGGTCGATAGTCAGTGTAAATCACATGGCAAGGCTATAAAGAAAAAATTCACATAAATATTTCATAATTGCACTGTAATATCACTTGCATGATGAAAAATGCAATACATTACTATTAAAATACAATCTCCTAAAATCAGAAAGTAAGGCTTTCAGAAATGAAGATAACAAATTTTCTTTCTTGAATATGGATTTTGTACTAATGACATAGCTTAAGAAAATGAAAGTTCACAAATGTTTTAGAATACAAGTTGGCTACAAAAATTTCTCATTAATAAAAGTAAAGACAGACAGTATTTCTTTCAGCATTACTAAGCAGGTTTGAAATATTAACATCTTCTAAAATCAAAGGAAAACCTGTTAATGTGTATTTTGTAGAAAAAGCCTGAAGCATTATTGAAACACCTAAGAAAGGTTCACAGTAGACCTTCACGAGCATTTAAGGTTTTGATGCATTAAAAAAGCATGTTTAGGGAAAAAAAACCCCACTTCCTTTAAACATTAAATATTACATAAATCTGCATTTAAAAACCTCACAATCTAATGGTCTGGAAAACAAAGTCAAGGCTTTGTGCCAAACTTAAAAAGACATTTTTTATACTATACTCCCTTCATTACAAACAACATAAGGATCAATTGCCAGAATATTTTTAAAATTGGACCAACTTCCTGTTGATAAGAAATTCCCCAGTTCCAATTCACAAAGTCTTTGCTATAAATGCGTATCTTAGAAAAAAAAATGGAATAGAATTTCAAACCTAAAGGTCACAGGACAGGATAGATTTCTTAAATAACACTTCTCTTACTTGCTTGCAACCATATATAGTATTTCCTGTGAATTTAAGGTTTGCTTTTGATTTCTACATGGCCTTTTACAGAGCTCCTCAGCCAAATTCACCTAATAACCTCTTGTCTATCAGCCCTAAGAAAATCACTGTATGTTCACCATGTTTCATAATTCAGAATGTTTCCTTAAAACAGGCAGGTACCTAAATAATTGTGGAAAATAAACATTAAGAAACAGTTCTAATGTTGCCATTCAGAAGAACCAGCCAGCACACCTGCAAAAGTAGGAACACAGCTAGAGAAGCCAGGAAAGCACGAAAATTACTAAAAAGATACTCAGAGGCCCAGTTATCAACCAAACACACAGTATTAAGCCACAAGACAAAAAGCACAGAGGCACAGCATATTGGAAATATTACCTGTTTGTGAAGATGGCAGATCCATTCAGCAAACTGACGGGCATTTGGAATAGTTGCAGAAAGGAACACATAATGTACATTATCAGGAAGCAAAATAATAGTCTCTTCCCAAACCACACCACGTTCTGAAAATGGAAAAGCATATGGGAAATGTATGTGATCAGAGCAATTTCTCATTCCTGAAGCCAAAGACCAGCAAGCATGCTTAAAAACAAATAAGACAAAAAAATAAAACAAATCTTCTTTACACAAGTGGGGTATGTCAAATGCATCAAAGTCATTTCTGCTTTGGTGAAGAAAATACAAACTACAACAGGTAATTATGTCAATTCAGCCAGAAATAAATTATGAATTATTTATACAAAAAGATGACAGATTTTACAAGGGAAAATTAGACTTCACTCTTCAAAAGAAAAAGAAATTGTTCTTGGGGAAAAATTACCAAGATTTGAAAAGAAAAATAGTATATACAGGATACCTGTATCTCTCATGTAGTGAATTTCATCAAAAATAACCCATGCGACTTCACGCATAACCTCAGAACCTCTGTAAAGCATACTTCTCAAGATCTAGAAAAGGAAGTAAAAGTTGAGTCCCTCCATGTGAAATAACAACAGTCATGTTACATGGACATCAGTAAGAAACTGCCAGAATTTCTGGTTCACTTTTACATGGATATATGAAATCATATCTTGCAAAAAACATAAAAGCATTTAAAGATAGGCTTTGAGATTGCTTTCCAAGTTCATTCCAATCTAACAATCTCACTACCTGACAAAAACTGTTTTCTCTGAAAGGAGAAACGTGAAAGAATGAGACAACATATTCCTCCAAGCTTCCACTGTCAGGTAATTGCTACAGCTCTATAGATCTACTTCTGCCAAGACGTCTTTTTAATTCATCCTAACAGATAACTGCCCTGTGATTAAGGGGACATCTTTTGTCAGAAATCAAATCATTCAATCTTTTTAATATTTCCCTACCAAAGTCATGCCTGTTCCTTTGAGGTAAAGGTAAAGAGGAAAATTTCAACTCATGGCTGCATTTCTACAACAGAAATACAACAAAGCTCTGTAAACAATACTTTGTTAACAAAGGTGAAAAGCTACCTATTCCCAGAGTTCTAGCACCTACTGTGAACAACTCAGCTATCCTTCAATGATTTTGCCCTCCTTATTTTGCCTTTCTAGAACAAAATACTGACCACAGGATTTAGGAAATCAGACTTTCAGCATTTTACATGACAGAAGAGTCAGTGTCTTCAGCACTCAGGAGATTAAATTCTGACTTTCTCCACATTAGAATCAGAAGTTCCCAACTTACAATTCAAAACCACAAATTCACAGAGATTTACCTAACTTTTTAAATAATCAAAAAAAAGTTAAAACATTCAAATGAGTCATAATGAAATTTTGAACATTTTCAAGTGTAATTAGGCCATTTTAGTCTTTTAAAAGTAGACATCCCCAATCAAAAAGAGAAGAAAACACCGATCAAGAATTAATGCCTGTCTTACCTCAGTTGTCATTACCAAACAAGATGCTGTAGGATTAATGGTGACATCCCCAGTCATCAAACCAACATCCTGAAATTCTTCATACATCTCACGGTACTTCTGGTTACTCAAAGCTTTAATTGGACTTGTAAATATCACACGCTGCTTTTCCCTCAAAGCCAGGGCAATTGCATACCTGTATTCAAACAATATCCATATTAACTGCTGGAGTGTATTACTTCGCCTTAGAACAAAATAAATTGTGCAATTCAGAACACCAAGAGAATGATACACAGCATTTGAATCCATGCTCTAATACATCTAGCACTTCCTATCCAGATTATTAAATTCAGTGCAACTACACATGCACCTCTGCAGAGTGAAAGCTCTTTAAAGACCAAGTCAGCTGATTTTTATGGAAACAAGAGTACATGTAGTTGTAACTGTGTCACAACAAAACTATTATTATTTGAACCCATGCTCTAATCTATCTCCATGTACATTTCACTTCTTATTTCAGGTCTGAATCAAATCCTGACAGAGAAGTTGCTCACTAAACCAAACCACTGCTCCTAACAAAGCAAAAAAAAAAACACAGAAGAAAGTTCTGACTTCTTCTAGCCAGGAGCTAGAAAACAAAGGTATTTTTTCAAGATTTACAGAAATCTGTACTGAAGAAACTCCCATTTCAATCTATACAGTAACAGCTTGACAGTTTAAAAATAAAAGCTAAACTTAATCACAAATTAAGCCTTCCACTACTCACTAAATGATGGAAGATGTAATTTTGATAATCAAGAATAGACAATTCAATTCTAACACTGGTGGACTAAATATTGTATCAAGAAATTGCAACACAACAGCTACTGAAGGTTCAAGAAAGTGACAGAAGGGACATCACACTATTCTTTCATTAGAGCTTGTTAGAAAAGTACTTACTCAGCACAAACAGTTTTACCAGCTGATGTGTGAGCTGACACCAACACAGACTGGTTATTATCTACACAAAGAATAGCTTCTCTCTGGAAGGCATCAAGAATAAATGGATACTCCTAGAAGAAAAAAGCAAAAACATTACAGAAATTTAAGACAGACCTACATCTAACTACTCTTCTGACTGTCCTAGTGTGCAAATTAGAGTCAAATTAAATCCTGGAGACACTTGTAATTTCTGCTGATCTTAAGCCACTATTATGCAATGACTTTGTACTTAAGTATTTTTATATCATACCTAAGATCTTTGCTTATGTCTTGTTGTCATAGCAAATAAAAATCTTGCCCTGATGACTGAATTTTCACTCATTTATCAGCTTAAGAAGAGAACTAGAATGCTGCCCCTGCCTGATGTTACAGAAAGAATATCATAACAGCCTATCCACCTCATTCAAACACATAATTTTTTCTGCCAAATTTTAAATAGAGAATTTTGCTTCTTACAGACCATCTTTTACAAATCTTACTGACAAAGTACATAATTTTTCCCTCTACTCTCACTTACTATGTAAAGCACGTACAAAAAGAAAAATAAATGGAATCTGCCACATACTTTTGCAGCTTTTCCAGTTCTTGGCTTCAGACCTGTGAATTCTTCATTTGCTGGAAGCGCAACCTATTAAAGATATTTAAAATAAAAACCGTTGCAGATTTCTGTGTCCACAGCAGTGACACTTCTGGCAATGTGAAGTGTATGAAAATCAATTTGAATTTCTGTTATCCTGTTTCTACAAGCTCATGTGTCAAGGGATTATTCCTTCCTCTCAAGAGCTTTTCAATCAATCTTTATATTCTCCTACCTAAGCAGCATTGCTTCTCTCACTCCTCTGATAGCCCTACTGTCTTGTCAGAGACATTTTTTCTTCACCTGCCTTGTAACAGTAGCTTTTCAGCCAAAACACCATCAAGTGCTCTGGCCAGTGAATATTCCAAGCAATTACTGAGCTCACATTGATAATCCCTTTCCAAATACACTGTATTTGTGCTGGTAACATTCCCATTCCGGGCCAATATCTATTATTTATTCACTTTAAATATGTAAGGTCTCTTCAGTCACTAAGTGATGGCAAACCTTTAACAGACATCTCAAAATAACAAAAAATTTACATACACGAGCTTTAGAACCCTGTGTATCTACAGTTCCTTCATTATGTAAGTCTGATGATACAGAGCCCTTGAATGTGACCCTAACTAACTTGAGCTAGCTCGAGAAAATAGCACAGAATATAAAAAGACCATAACAGTATAAGGAAGTTAAAATTTACACATTTGATTTTCACACAAACTCTTTCTGACAGTCATATATGGATGCAGGATGCTTCAAGAAAACATTAATTTATGAAAGCATTAATAGTTTGCATTTTTCATATTTGAATTTGTATTTATGTCCATCAACACAATTTGAAAATGGATAGCTTTTATTACTTTGCACTTGAAAAAAAGTAATTTTCCATTTTTACCAAAACGTATTTTTCAACAGTAATCAGCTTTAGAAGAAAGTCTTTCCTACTTGAACCAGAATACAAGAATACTTCAATGCACTGATCACACTACAAAGAGAAAACACATTGTACCAACCAGTAGATTTTTCTTCTCAAATGCTCTTGGGTACCTTACAAATACAGAAACCAATCAATATTACCACCAATTCTTTCACAATCACTTATTGTATTGTAAGTATGATTGAAACTCCTTCTGGTAAGATACACTACTAATTTTCCAAGTGCAGTTTGTGCATGCTTAGTCAGATACAGACTTCAAACTCCTCGCAGTCTTAAATACTGTATGAAATACTGTATCTGCTGGAGTGCAGGAAAGCTCTGCAGAGGGATCAGGACAGACTGGATCAATGAGCAAAGACCAATGGTGTGAAATTCAGCAAGGTCAAGTCCCAGGTCCTGCCCTTGGGCCACAACAACTCTGTAGCTCTGAGGCATCCCCAGGCTGGGACAATTTTTCCTCCGAGGTAACAAGCAGAAGGAGAATATGAAATGACCTTAAACTGTGAACAGGGAGACTGGACATTAGAAAAGAGTTGTCAAGCATTGGATTAGGCTGTCCAGGAAAGTCACTAAAGCCACTTAAGAAATGTGTAAATGTGGCACTTGGGGACAAGGTTTAGGGGAGGACCTGGCAGCGCTAGGTTAATGGTTGGACTCAATGATCTCAAAGGCCTTTTCCAACCTAAAAAATTCTGTGATTCTGTGACATAATAACTGCAAGAAGAATAAAGAATATTATTATAGTGGCAACGATACACACAATTAGGTATAACAAGTCTGTATTTTTCATGTACTTTTTCACTGCACTCACCTCATGCGTACAACCTTCAACAGTTTCCACAGACTGCACCTTTACCTGAGGCATCAGATCTGTCAGACTAAAAAGATATGAGTTAGGATTACCAAAAAGTACTAAAAAATACTGTTTTATATAAAAGTGAACATGTTGAATTTCACATCTGCTTTAACTGCAACATAAAAAAACGGATGTGCAGTCTTAGCATGGACAGGCTGCAGAGGTTACTACCAGGACTATTACCTCAAAATTAAAATTTTGCTACCATATAAATCTACTGTAGCTACTGATTCAAAAATTGCACCACAAAACAGCGCCTGAGTCACACCTACTTACATAAAATTTTATGATTAAATGAGGAGTTTTTTCAAGATATAATTAAACAAAATTCAAGACCTGTACTCATGCTACTAGTCAACACAGAGTAAGGGCAGCTTAAAGCAACCCAAGCACCTGCCTAAGGACAAGGCCCCTCTTTCATTTACCAGTTCCTTCTCTTGTGGCCATGAGAAGGGATTGGAGTCCCTTGCCATAAAACTGTTTATTTCTGATGTACACATTCTACTGATACCACTAACACAGAAAATTATGTAAAATATTGGCTCTGGTTCTGTTTTGCTTCTATTCACTTACTGTCTACAGTGTTTTGAGAAGTCTTCTCATGAACTTCTCACAGAAATCTGATAGTGAACTTTACAAAAGTTACATGAAAGACCAAATGATAATGCAGTTATCACCTTACATGCCTCAAAAGCCTTGTCAAATTGCCAATTTTTTTCCTGTATAGCAAGCCAACTATGTCTTTCAAGCTCATGGTACACAGCAAACCTGCCTCTTACCACGTGCTTCCAGCTCATCTCCTGCTCTGTGCGAAATCAACACAATGCCTTTGACCACCGACTCAAGTGAGTAACTACAAAGGCATGAACATTTTCTACTGCAAAGGCCTACAGGTGTGCAGTATAATTTTACATATACCCAGATTTCATCACTGCTGAGGCTGCACTAGCAGCATTTTCTCACTTAAACAGATAATGGAAAACCAAACTTGCACAAATTCATCTTTTTTACAAGAAAACACTGCAAAACTCCTTCATATCAGCTGTTCCCAACTGGCACATGGCTAGTCAAGGCAGCTTGCTAGGACTACCTCACACATTAAGCTGAGCACTTACTTAACATCATCTGATAAAACATCTTCCAATTTCGGTTTTTTCCCCAAAATGACATTTTCAGTACTATCAATCTCAGCCTCCCTTTTTGGCTTGACTATTGCGGCTGGTACTGAAGGTTTTTCTTCCAATCTTTTCCTGCAACAAAAACACAGAAGAAATTTAAAATTTGCCTCCTTCATTTACGTATTGTCAAGGACAAAAAACTCTTAAGGGCAAGTGTGATCCTCGGGATGCCTGCACCTGGGGGAAGGGATCCTGTTCCCTGCACCTCGGGAACAACCCAGGTAACCTGACCCACCAAAACAGCTGTGGGATTTCAAACCAGTTCCCAGACAAGCTGGCCACCAGGTCCCCACACTCCCCAGTAGGCCACAGAGCCAGAGCTGGCTACAGCTTTAGAGCCAGGGATCCTGGGAAAATGGGTCACAGAATTACAGAAGGGCTCAGGTTGGAAGCGACCACAGCGGCTCATCTGGTCCAACCTCCCTGCTCAAGCAGGTCGCTCCTAGAGCACATGGTACAGGAGCGGATCCAGACGGGACTTAAATACGTCCAGTAAGAGAGATTCCACAAACTCTGAGCAATCTGTTTCCAGTTCACAGTCACCCACACACTTAAGAAGTTTTTCCTCACGTTCAGGTAAAACTTCCTGCGCATCAGTTTCGGCCTGATACCTCTTGTCCGATTGCTCGGCACAACCATCAGGAGCATGGCTGCATCCCCCTAGTACCCTCCCTTCAGACACTGACACACGTTCCCGAAGTCCCCAGGGGTTCAGCAGCTCAAACACGCCGGAAGAAGCCGAGCCCAGCACTACAGCCCTCATCCCGCCACCACATCGGCCCCTTACCCCGGCCTCCTGGCACCCTCGGCGGGGCCCGTTTTGCTCTTCTTGGCGCCAGAAGCAGCGGCGGCCGCGTCCTCCTCGAACACGCTGAAGAGCTCATCCCCAAAGGCCTCCGCCATCTTAGCCGCCGCGCTTCCACAATGCCCCGCGCAGGGCGCACACTTCCCGCGAGAAGGGCGCTTCCGATCCCGCCCCCTGAGGGGTGACGGGCGCTCCCGCCGGCCTTGGCACCAGTAGCCGCCCACACGGCCCGTGCTCGATGGCGATCTCGATTTCTGCCCGAGTCTGGGTCCCGGTCCCGATGCCGAGCCCCTCCGCAGCTCCCGCTTGGCGCACACGTGGCCCTTCCCCCCCCGGAAGGCGATCTGCAAAAAGCCGACGCAGGCCGCGCGGCCCGCGCGCGTGCGCCGGGGGCGCTGGCCAATGGCAGGCGGCGGCGGCGCGCCGAGCGCGGTGCCCGGATGTGCGCGCGCGCAGAGCTGGGGGGGTGCCATGGGCGGCCGCAACAAGAAGCAGCGCGCGGGCAGCGCGGCTCATGCGGCCGCCGCCGCCACCGCCCGTGCCCGCGCCGCGCAGGCCGGCGTGGCCGCGGCCGCAGAGCCCGGCAGCCGCACCGCCCCGCCGCGACCAGCGCCCGCCTCCAAGGAGCCGCGTGTCAAACAAGGTACCGCGGCCCGCGGAGCCCCGGGAGCGGCCGTGCCCCGCTGTGCCGTGCCGCAGGGGGACTGAGGGTACCGTGGCTGGAGGGGCAGTGCTTTCGGGGGGCCCTTGGGGGTGCGGCTGCCGCGACCGCGGCGTTACCAGGAGGGACCGGCCTTTGAGGCTGGTGTTTCCCAGCGTCGGGAGAGGCAGCTGGAATTGCTCCGCTCCTAATGTGGTACAGCCTGCCTTGTCTGTCTAGCTGGTCAAAGGAGGGGACTCTTCCCCGTCTACTTGGCCCTAATGAGGCCGCGTTTGGTGTCTGTGTCCAGTTGTGGGCTCCTCCCACAAGAAAGATGATGGTCAAATGCGAGGAGTCCAGTGAAAGATGATGCGGCTGCTCATGAGGAGAGACTGAGGGAGCTGGGCCAGTGCAGAGAAGACTGTGAGGGGCCCACATAAATGTATATAAATATTTCAAAGATATGTGCCAAAAAGATGATGCCACCACTCTCTTCAGTGGTGCCCGGAATGAACAGCAGTAGGCACAACTGTGACACGACAAGTTTCACCTCAACAGGAGGAAGAGCTCCTGTACACTGAGGGTGGCAGGGCGCTGGAACAGACTGCCAGGGAGGTCACAGCGTCTTCCTCTCTGGAGATACGCAGAACTCACCTGGATTCATTTCTGTGTCCCCTGCTCTAGGTGATCCTGCCATATGGGGTTGGATGATCTCTAGAGGTCCATTCCAACTGCAGTTATTCTGTGGTTCTGCTCTCGAGGTGTCCCTGAGCAGATAAGTCTTCGTGAGATCGATGTGTTGAGTTTAATTACAGAAAGTCTTGTTATTAGATTATCAGCAGTTCCTATGAAGCAGTTGTTTGGACAGCACTTTCCCAGAGCTTCTGATGTATTTGTTTTGTATATTATCAAAATCAATATAATGTGGATTGGGGATTTAGTTTGGGTGATTTTTTTCTGGCTTGAAAGACCTGTTACAGGGCTGGAGGCACTTCTGTGGTGTTAGATAAGATGAAGGATGGCTATTCTGAGTGCAGTTTGAAAAACTATTATTCTGAAGCACTATGGGATGCCTCTTTTTAATAAGCCAGGTTTGCCAGAAGCAGCTCAGATACCATATAACATTAGAACAGCTTTTGCTGCAGACGTGGGCAAATCATGCAATAGCCAGGGCATCTGAGTTTCCCACTAGTTAAGGAGTCTTGTAATCTGGTAATAAAAGCCTCCTGAACCTATTCATGCATTCTGTTTTTACAAATGTGGGCTATGTGTATTTCTTGTGTCCTCCATTCCTCCAATAACCACAGTGCTCAGTCCTCTTCAGAAAATAACCTGCTTCTCTCTCAGGTTGTGGTGAAAAATCAGTCAGCGTAAATGAAAGCTAATTTGGTGTATTTTAAAGAGCCCCCTGGTAAGTGCCAGTGAGTAGATCCTGAGTGCTGACAGCTGTTTGTGTCTCCTGATTAGAGGGGACCGTACTTTGTCTGAAGCGCAGTTACCAAAACCTGGTGTGGTCTCAAAGCAGGCCCTTCCAGAGCTGCTCTGCAGGCAGGCCAGCACGGATGAGCTGCCAGCCCACCTGTTGGGAGGTAGCTGTGCCTCCTGGAGCAGCATGCAGCTGCACAGAGGGGTGGAAGCTATGGCCTTGCTTGGTTTCCTTCTGCCTGTGCAGCACCAGACGCAGTACACATGCTCTGAAAGTGATGGGATTCTACAGCAAGCTGTGTGTTGTTATTCTAATGACAATAAATGGTTTTGTGAATTAGAGTTCGGTTTTTTAATACCTGTTAAAAGTATTTAGGAATGACCAGAGCAGACCAAAGGCTTCTGTAAGCCAGTGCTCTCTCCTATGTAGGGAACAAAAGCAGATACCTAGGTAAGAACAAATCAGACATGTAGGGCCTCCCTGAAGCATATGTAATTCTTTTTTCAATGCTCTCCCATGTCAATTGATTTCTTCACTGCAGAGCTGTTCTCTCTGCCCTTGGACGTCAGTAAATATCTACAGTCCATGGCTTTAGTGGCAAAGGGTTCTGTTACATAGCTATGCACTTTGTAATAAAAAATCCTCAACAGCCTTGCTTGTTTTGAAACTACCATTTACTTTGTTTTGAAATTATCATTTTGCTTCCCTATTTGGCAGTTCTTTTTCAGTGTTCAGAGAGTGAGCAGTCAATCCCATGTCCTCACATTATACCCTTTGAATTTTATATTTTGTCATAGCCCTCTTCACTATTCCTTGTTCAAGGCCTTTCTTGATTATTGTTGTTGTTAAGTACCTGCAAGTTTCTGGCAAGTTAGGGTGGTAGTTTGCACTAATTTGTGTTATGTTAGGTCTGCTTTAGCTATGTTAAACAATATTCTCTGTGGGTTTTGTGTAATTGATGGTTATTTGCAATTTGCAGGTCCAAAAACTTACAGTTTTGGTTCAACAACAGATTCCAATGCTGCTGCAAATCTAGATAAATCTGTTCTTAAGGCAAGTATCTTCTTTACATAAAACAACTTTGATTTTCATAGTACTGCTTTAGCTGAGTAAATATTTCTTCAGATCTTTTTCAGTATTAGGTTGTGCATGTAAACTGCGTTAATATATGAGACAATTGACCATTGAGAATTTGATTTTGTTTAGGGTTTTGAGTGTCCTTTAAGCAATAGGGGTAAATTACCACAGTAGAATAATGTCTTTTTTTAAAAAAATAACAAATAATACTTTGCATGCAAGACTATTTTAGGAGTTAGGTCTGGGCTTCTGCTGTGCATATGGATCTTTCTTCCTGTCAAAGAAGGAATATAGATTTTATATAACAAACTTAGTAGCAACTAAAGATAGGTTCATGTTTTAGAAAAGTTTCAAACATAAGAATTATTATACTAAATTTGTTTTTAAAGGTTTTTTTGGAAGGAGGATGTCACAGATTGCATCTTGATGTTCAAATTACTTTGTGTGAGCAGAGGAGAAAGGCCTTGGGTTTTTTTTTTGGTAAAATTTTATTTTGCTTACAATATTTCCCTTAACATACTAAATTTCCTTTAAAAGGTAAATTGGCTTTCTTGGTAATAAGGAATTAACTCTTGTATTTCAAGTGAAAGTGTATAACTTGCAGAAGAAAAAGTGTCCTTTTTGTAAGAGATGTTTAGGCCACTTACAGAAAGCTTGAAATATTGGAATTTGAATGGCAGAGGGATTTCTGCATTGTTACGTCCTTAGTCATGAAGTGCATTGACATGTCATAAAAACTTCCAAAGTTTAACTTTTATCAACTCATTTTTTCTTTGCAGGTAATGATAAATGGTAGTTTAGAGAAAAGGATTATCGATGTGATTAATAACCATAAAATCCAAAATGAGGACAAGGGAATGATTTCCAAAAGACTAACTGCAAAGAAACTACAGGTACAGTTGAAAATCTTGTTTTTCATTATTCATTTAGAATAGTTTGTCTTTTGCAATTTTTGTCAAGTGTCATATTCCCCTTGTGTGTATTACATAATTGTATTGTGTGTGGCACAAGCCAATACAGCATGCTTTTCAGTAGTTATATGAATGATTAGTCACTGAAATCAAGGAGTATGCTTATTAAGAAAGGCACATTTTTATGGATTCAGGAACTAAAATCAAGAGCTTTCAGACAAGATAGAGGGATAATACTTAATCTGAATGTTTTAGGTCTCCTACATTTTTTACTCTGTGTACCTGGAAAATTGGAGGTATGTCTTTATTTAGCTAGAAAACACATTGTGGAGAGAGAGGCAGGAATCTAGATTTATTGATACCTATGCTTGCATATTTAAAAAGAAAATATTAATTATGCAAAACAGAATTTTCTGTTACATTAATGCACGGTGTTTGTTTCCCTTTAATGCTGGCTTTCTGATATGTGAGAAATAGAACTTTGGAAGCCTATATTAGATTGCTAGATTAAGTACTAATCTTTTTAGCTCTTTTATTTATAGGATGTATACATGGCTTTACAAAGATTCTCTTTCAAGACTGAACACATTGAAGAAGCAATGAAAAATACACTTTTATATGGGGGTGATCTTCACTCTGCACTTGATTGGCTTTGTTTAAACCTTCCCAATGGTGAGTATGGTTACAGAAAATAGTTTTTGACAGAAGAGATCTAGGACCTGCTAAGCAGTAGCATTATTACTTCACAATAGTAATTAAATACAATGTTCCTCTAAGACTAGTAGTTGCAACAGTGTTCCTCTCCTACATGCTTGGCTGACTAGTTCTGTATTCTAGTGCACGAAGTCTTGTGGTCTTCCCGTTCCTGCACTTGGAGTTCTGTGAATTTCCAACGAGCAAATAAACTGTTTTATATAAATGCTAAAGCCTAACTTTTATTTCAGTTTGTGTTCTTCTAGTTGGTTCCTAACAGAGTTTAAAGTATTTTCCTGTAATTATTATTATTTTCTGTGACATGTTTTTTCTCTTTTTATTTTGAAGATGCCTTGCCTGAAGGTTTTAGCCAGCAATTTGAAGAACAGGAGCAGAAACCTAGAGCAAAATTTTGTTCTGCTGTGTCAAAGTGTGGAATTCCACCTCACTTAGAAGATAACAAAAAGAAAGAAAATGGCCCTGGAACTAAGGTAATCTGAGAATCTAATCGGTAGTTACTTGGGTTGTGAGGGAAGAGACAATAAAGCTTTCTAAAATACAGGAGTTGCATTGATTTCCAGCTTATGAAAATGTTGTGTGATTAATAATTGTAAACCTGCATTTTAATTTTAGTGGAATGGCAATTTAAAGGTATTTTTCCTGTTGAGTCTAGAAGGTTCCTCATAGTTCATTTTTGTGGTAAAGCACAGGGAATCTCATGAGATTATGATTAGGTATCAGGAAGAAATTCTTTTCTGTGAGAATGATGGGACACTGGAACAGGTTGTCCTGAGAAGCTGCTGATGCCCCATCCCTTGCAGTGTTTAAGGCCAGGTTGGATGGGGCTCTGAGCAACCTGGCCTAGTAAAAGGTGTCCCAGCCTAAAGCAGGGGGTTTGGAACTTGATGACTTCTAAGGTCACTCCCAACACAAGCCGTTCTATAATTCTATAGCTTAATTTCTTAATTTTATCCTATAATGGGTTTATTCTGTTTATGCATATGTGACACTCTATACGATTTTATGAGGGTTTAAGTTTTCCTGTGTGCTGTCAGTGTTTTTGTGGGCATTTAATCTTAAACCAGATTAAATCTAAAACAAAAAAAAATGCCCTGCAAAGGGTTTAATTCCTTATTGTAATTATAGTTATTCTAGTGTTAAGATCTATTTAGATGTATAGTGCAATATTCACCCTGGTTGGGAAAGCTTTCTTTCTTGTCATATATATATATATATATATATATATATATATATATATATATGTATGTATGTATGTATATTATGTATAAAACCTTTATAGTAGTTCCTAGGTACTGGCAGAAGAAAGCATTGCTTTCACATACATTGTCATTACTTTTAACTTATATTGCTCTTAGGAAACAAATGTGAGGAAAGAGAAAGAATTGACTATGAAGGAGTGGATTTTGCAATACGCCGAGCAACAGAGTGATGAAGAGAAGGATGAGTCTGTGAAAGAGACAGATGAAGAAAAATTTGACCCGGTAAGACAGAATAATACTTCATGGGAGTCTTTCTAAAAACTGATATGTCTGGTACATCTGCATATGGTGGATCTGTTTGTTACAAATTTGTGTGTTATAAATTGGGGATTGAAAACGTTTTTATGTTACTAGTAATGTATCACGGTATTGAAGGAAAACCTGTTGAAGCTTCTTCTTTTCTAAGTTGTTTTTCCTTTCCCTTATTATTTGTACTGCGTTGAAAATGTTGAATGTCGTGTTTGGGAAAGAAAAATTTAAAATACATTTCCATGAGATTGAGCGAGTTACTATCAAATTCTGGGAGATTTTGACTGTTAATTAAATAAAAACTAATTGCATAAGCTTGGTATAAAGGGTGAAAAACCTGCACTTTGTCATGAAGGTCATTGAAAGTGACAAGCATACCATATTCAACTTGTAATTAATAATTCTGTTTGAAATAGAATGAGAGGTATATACATCTGTCTGCCAAGCTTTTAGAAGCAAAAGAACAAGCAAGCATCTCCAAGCAAGACAAAGACAAGCAAGGCCAGAAGGCAGCACAAGAAAAAATAAGAAAAATTCAGCAAGGTAGAGCTGTGCAAGTTGCCTGTGTTTTCTGGTCTGCATGTTTGTTAGGCAATTAAATCTTGGATTCAGGTTGAATTGAAGATAATTGCATTATCTTTATGCCACTTTGTGAAATGAAGGCTTTTCTGAATTTGTTCTTTCTTGGTCAAATTCTAAAAAGCCAGTAAAATTTCACTAGTTCTGGTTTTGGGTACTCAGTATGAATTATTACAGTTGTTTCTTAAGCAGTTCATGGGTATAAGTTATATTCTCTCTGACAGAAATGGCAGCACTTGAGGAACATCCAGTATTTAATCCAGCTATAAAGATTTCAAACCGACAGCAAAATGAAAAGAAAAAAACTCCGTCATCTCAACCTCAGGAGACCACTTTGAACTTGAGTTTGCTTGAAAAACCTGATGGTGCTGCAAAGGAAGACAAAGGTGTGTTGGAAGTAGTTCAGTACAAGCTTGAATCATACCACAAATTTCCAGAATTAGTTCTTGTTTTGCTAGGTTTGCAGTACTGAGTGAACAAGCTCTGATTGTGGGAAAGGATGGTGAACTATTACAGAACCAATTCGCTTGGAAAAGACCTCTGAGATTGAGTCCAGCCTGTGACCAAAAACTACCATGTCCACTAGACCATGGCACTGGCTGTAAAGTTCAGTTGTTCCTTAAATGACTCCAGGGATGTGACTCCACCACCTCCTTGGGCAGCCCAGTCCAATGCTTGACAACCCTTTCTGTGAATAAACCCTTCCTAATGTCCAGCCTGAACTTCTCCTGATGCAGATTGAGGCAGTGGTTCCCTGGTTGCCTGGGAGAAGAGGCTGACCCCCGCCTGGCCACAGCCTCCTTTCAGGCAGCTGTAGAGAGTGATGAGGTCCCCCCTGAGCCTCCTTTTCTCCAGGACAAACACCCCCAGCTCCCTCAGCTGCTCCTCACAGCACTTGTGCCCCAGACCCTGCCCCAGCTCCATTGCCCTTCTCTGGACTCTCTCCAGCCCCTCAGGGCCTTTCCTGCAGTGAGGGCCCAGCCCTGGACACAGCACTGGAGGTGTGGCCTCAGCAGGGCCCAGCACAGGGGGACAATCCCTGCCCTGGCCCTGCTGGCCACAGCATTGCTGATCCAGGCCAGGATGCCATTGGCCTTCTTGGCCACCTGGGCACAGCCTGGCTCATGTTCAGCTGCTGTCACCAGCACCCCCAGGTCCTTTCCAGCCACTCTGCCCCAGCCTGTGGCACTGCCTGGGGTTGTTGTGGCCCAAGGGCAGGACCTGGCACTGGGCCTTGTTGAACCTCACTCCACTGGCCTCAGCCATGATCCAGCCTGTCCAGATCCCTCTGCAGGGACTTCCTGCCCTCCAGCAGATCAACACTCCCACCCTACTGAGTGTCATCTGCATACAGTCTGTCTCACTGAGCAAGCTGACTTTTAAGGATCTGTACTTGTTTTAGCAGATTACATTGAAAGCTATTTTTGTCATGCTGTCATGTCTTAAAAATTAGATTTCTTTTTTATTTTTTTCAGTTGTAGGGCTAGTTGCTGTTTCAGTCGTGCTGTCATATTTTTAAACTATTTTCATTGCAAATCTTCAAACTGTTAAAATATTTCCTAATAACCAGGCTGTAATGAAACTTCTAAAATTACTGGATGATCAAAGATAACAAAATACTGTAATTAATTTTCTGCCAGATACTTCTGTAGGAAAAGTAGAAGTTTCTGTGATGTAGCATCAATACCTGTATTTCTGCAAAATATTTCAGAAAATTGTGCTATCTAGTAAAATATATGTGAATAAAAGGTAAAAATTACTTCAAAGGACTGTAAAATAGATTTTAGGAGGATTTAGAATGTATTTTTCTGCTCTTACAGTGAAAAAGAGAGATCCACTAGATATAAGAAATTTTGATTATAGTGCTCGAAGCTGGACTGGTAAATCTCCAAAACAGTTTTTGATTGACTGGTGCAGAAAGAATTTTCCAAAGAGCCCAAATCCTTCTTTCGAAAAAATTCCTGTTGGAAAATATTGGAAATGTAGGTATGTATTTCCTGTAATCTTTACATTTGCCTTTTGGTTCATTTGAAAATAAAATATCTCAGCAATTCTCTCTTGTTGATAGAGCTTTATATCAATACAGTGTTTAACCCAAACTCTTTGTTAGTCCATCAGGGAGGTATTTTACTCTGGATAGCTCTGCAGAAATGATGCTTAGCCTAGACAAAGTCACAAAAAACCCTTATTCCCGCTTTTATCAGTTCATTCAGTAGAATCTTATTTTTATTTGTGTACTGCTGAATGGAAGATTAGTCTGAAGCACCCTTGTGAGATAGATTTGAACAATTTATCTTTGGTATTCTTATTCAAAGTAAAATATTAAATCAGAGATTCAAGTTTATGAATACCAAAACCCTCCTGAAAATTGTTTAAAATAAAGTGGAAGTTAAAAATTTCTGTCAAAGTTACCATAAATTTATGGGCAAAACAGTGCAGCATCTTAAATTTATTTTAGAAATCAAGTCTAAAATACAAAGTTGTAGAGTAGAATATTACCATATATGAATAAAGCGGACACAAAGTTATAAATAAGCAATGTTTCTTGAAGGAACCAAGTGAAAGAGCTTGTTTTCTTGCTCAAGCTGAAAACTACTAACAGACTGCCATCCCTAAGAATATGATAAATTTGGCTTCTGCTCTGACTGCTGTTTATCTATTAAACAGATGTTTGCATCTTGGTAGGCCTTTGAAAGTCATCTTGATCTATCCTAAATAGTTACAAGCAGACAAACATTGGGTCCTTCTTATAAAGCACCTAACTTTAGTGGTAATCTCTATATATATAAATGCTTCTGACTTGAAGAAAACGGAGGTGTTTATAAAATGAAGAAAAAAAAAAACCCACAAATTCACTCCTGGAATAATTGCTGAAAATGTAACATCATTGCAGGTATTTTCTGTTTATAGTGGTTGCAGAAAATTGAGATAACTGCTTTTGAAATTGTTCTTTAAGGGTCAGGATTATCAAGTCATCAGATGATGTAATGGCAATGTGTCCTACAATCGTAACAGAAGATGGTATGCAAGCACAACATCTAGCTGCTACTTTGGCACTCTACCATTTAACCAAAGGACAGGTAAGTTTCTTAGCAGCATTATTGTTCTTGGCCTCAAATCTGCTTCTGCACTTTTTTGCTATAGTATCTTTAGTTGTGTTGTAAAAATAGTTTCATGTAGCATTTCCCATTAAATTCGTTGCTTCCATTGCATATTCTCATTCCATACACATCTCCTGTTTTTATCTAATTGTGTGTGTGCTTTGCATCATACAGAAAAGATTTTTTTGTTAAAGCTATACTTTCAGACTTGTAAAAACTGAAAGCTAATAAAGACATATTGTTGACATTTTTTTTGCTGCTTTCATAGTTTCTGTATTTAGAATGGTTTCCTATTTGTTTTTTGTCAAATCTTTTAACATTTGAGTTTGTTTACACATAAAATACTAAAAATAGTGATGTTGCTAAGTAGTAGATAACATAATTTTTTCTGCCTTTTTCACTGGAAGTCAGTTCATCAGTTGCTGCCTCCTACCTACCGAGATGTCTGGCTAGAATGGAGGGATATCGAAAAGAAAAAGGAAGAGGAAAGCAAGATAGAAACCAACAAACCGCGTGATACCTTTATTGCTAAATTGTTAAACCAACTGAAACAACAGCAGCAGCTACAGTCTGAAAACCAGCCAAGACTATCTGAGGGTCCTGAAGATTCCTGGGAAAACTTGGTTCCTGATGAGGACTTCAGCAGTCTCTCCCTTGAGACCTCAGATGCAGATAATTTGGAACCTTCAAGGAATTTGTTTAAGAAGTTGCAGAGTTCCTCTAGATACCAGAGGCTTCTGAAAGAGAGGCAGGAGTTACCTGTGTTTAAGCACAGATACTCAATTGTAGAAACTCTTAAAAAACATCGAGTAGTTGTTGTCGCTGGTGAAACAGGCAGTGGGAAGAGTACCCAGGTGCCCCATTTCTTATTGGAAGACTTGTTGCTAGATGAAGGGTCAAAAAAATGTAACATTGTTTGCACACAACCCCGAAGAATCTCAGCAGTGAGTCTGGCAACAAGGGTTTGTGAAGAGCTAGGCTGTGAATCGGGACCGGGAGGAAAAGTAAGAAGTGTCTTAATTCCTTTGTCTTGATCAAATACAGGGGGCTGGATTGTTGGCAAAAAGTGAGAACATTATTTCTTATACAACCAAACAAATAGATGTTATTTTCTCTTGAAAAGGACTTCTTGGTATGTCCGTTGTTTCTTTTCCTCTTGTCACCTGTGAACCTGTAGATATCTATATATGATTCCTAAATTCTTCACAGGCTGATATATAGCAACAGTGTTTCATATATGGAATGGTCAAAGATTTGAGCAGATTGCCCAGAGGCTGTTGTGTCACTACCACTAGGGATGAAGCAAAGTCCCCCAAATAAGGCTCTGAACAATCCAGTCTGGCCTTGAGTGGAGCCCTGCTTTGAGAGGGGCCCTTTCCAGCATAAGTTATTTTGTTACTTCAAGAAAACCAAAGGGCTGTATTTGTTAGGGCAATTTGTACAAAAACATTTGTGAAACTGTCAGAGTCCCGAAAACAACCCTGATTTTATCAGCTCTTTGCCGCTCTGCATAAATTTCATTATTTTTTCCTTTCTCAACAAGGTGAAGTACTTGTGAGGAAGTGTGGCAGTCATTCACTATACTACTTAATTAGCAAATTTGTACAGTATCTGAATCTGAGAGCTACTAAATTTCACCTAATTTTGAATGTTGTTAGCTTGTATGTTATTTTAAGTTATTCTATATTTTTAATGTATTTTTTTAAGAACTCCCTGTGTGGATATCAAATTCGTATGGAATCAAGAACAGGAGAAGCCACCAGACTGCTGTACTGTACAACAGGTGTCCTGCTTCGGAAACTTCAAGAAGATGGTCTCCTGTCAAGTATATCTCATGTTATTGTTGATGAGGTTATCAGTTCTTTACTATTCTGCAGAAATTACAGTTATTCTGGGCCTTGATCTCTACTAAATTCTTGCTATAGATCTATTTTTCTAATTCTAGGTACATGAAAGAAGTGTCCAGTCTGATTTCTTGCTAGTTATTCTGAGAGAGATCTTGCATAAACGCTCAGACCTGCACCTGATTTTAATGAGTGCCACTGTAGACAGTGAGAAGTTTTCCAGCTATTTCTCACACTGTCCCATTTTAAGGATCTCAGGGAGAAGCTACCCAGTTGAGGTAGGTAGATGTTTATTTTGATTATGCAGGATACTTTGTATATATGTATACAGTGTTTGCCTAGTTAGTATCTAAATAATATATCACTTTTTTTTTTTTTTTACCAGAAATATAGATCTTACAATAAGTATTTCAAGGACTTGTAGTCCATTTTCTTTTATGGAAATATAGAATAGCTTCAGGGCTTTGGAGTACATAGCTGTACTATTTTTTGTGATGGATTTATTGATTACAGTCAGTCCCTCAGTTACACTTGGATTTTTGTCTGTTCAACTTAGGTAGAAAGGAAAGCATTAAAGAATTCTTCTCACGCCCCCTGTAACTTTGTGACTGCATTCTTATGCATAAGTTTTAAGTTATAATACGCATTAGTTTTTCTTATGTGTATTATGTAGGTTGTGGTAAAGGTTATGTAGTGATCAGGTGGAGAAGCCCATTAACAAACTTTTAGCAGCTCCAAGATTAGGTTTTCAAAAATCATGACAGTTTTAGTTGAAATGTTCAAGATTTATTACAACATTAAGGCCCTGGTCAACTTTGTTATGCAAGATTTAAAAAAATGAAAGAAGTTGCTGATTAGTTTTTATGTGCCTCATGTTTTTTCTTTGAATTTTCACTAAAGATTTTCCATGTTGAAGATGTAATTGAAGCAACTGGCTATGTTCTGGAGAAGGACTCAGAATATTGTCAGAAGTTCTTGGAGGAGGAGGAGGAAGTAACAATAAATTTTACGGGTAAAGGAGGAAGCACTACAAAGCACCAGGTGAAACAGGCACTTTTAGTTTTGTCTTGGAACCTTTTGGGAGTTTTTATTATTTAATCATTTTGGTTCCTTTGAATTTATTGTGGTTGGATTGTAAAATACCAAATGAATATTTGATACTCAGTTTATAAAAAACAGACACAATGGCACTCCTACTAATTTTTATGAATGCTTCACCCTTTTGATTGTTGCTCCAACTCCTATATAGTTGTCTTGCTTTTGCTGACATTGTATTTGACATTGAGGTCTCTTGTAGATTACCAGCTCTGGGTGTATAAGCAGCAGCAGGGAAACCATTTTTTTTTTCCTTGAAGAATTCTCCTACATAGTGACTTAACAACAGAAGAGAAAAGACTTTGTCCTTCCTTAGCTAAAAGACTCCCAAAATCCTCCAACTTGGCATGCCAAAGGAGATGATTTACCTGAGATTGTTGTATAGACCTCATTAGTTTAACAGGTTATGGTTAATCTTTAGGTACTCTGCAGTGACAGCTGTATGTGCTTTTGGATCAAAACTCTTGAAGGGGAAATTCTATCAGTGCCATCTGACTTTGGCAACTCAGGCTGTTAATCTAGACTATGTATTTTTTGGAGGATACCTGTCTGCTCCGATTTGCTTTGCAGAACTTCTGAAAATTTAGCTTGCTACAATCAAGCACTTACATGTATGCTGAAAAATAGTCTGGTGTGCTCTACTGATTGTTTTCCTTCAGTACAGAAGGATATGTGGTGTTAAGCTTCCTTAAGTGTATTGAGTAACAATGAAGTAGTTTACAGTAGTGCCACTTAATTTAGAAACTAGGTGTGTAAGATGTCTAGAAAAAAATCAAATTTATATCTCTCCTGCTAACTCTTTTCCTGTACCAAAACATTGCAGGAGTTGCCACCTAGTTCATTCTTAATTTTCCTTGCAAGCATTAGTTGAGAAGGGTGAAGTAAGGGAGAGGGAAAAGGTGAAACGAATTTCTTACACCCCAAAATAGGAGTTTTGAAAGAAGAGTATACATCTTGTTATCCCAGTTTGAACTGATACCAGTTGAATGACAGATATGGACCTGGGAACTGTTTACCTCTTGGAGAGACTTTAATATTTACCTTTTCTTAGAATCTGGAATGTCATTTAACAGTTGTAGATACTTCTACACATTGTGTAAGTGGTTGTGATTTAATCTAACTCACACAGGTTTTGGTGGGAAATTAGTTAAATTTCTGTTATCCCAATCTCTGTTTCAAGCGAGTGGCAAATTCACCTTCTGCTCTTTATGTTCCTCTAAAATACTAAGAATGTGATTTTTTTTTTTTCCTGCTTACTCTTGTTTTTTAGGAGTATATCCCAATCCAGTCCGGATCTGGTATCAATTTGACTACTTACTATGCGAAGTATAGCAATCGTACACAGCAGGCTATCTTATATATGAACCCTTACAAGATCAACCTTGAACTTATTTTGGAGCTGCTTGCATACTTAGGTACTTCTAGTCCACTTCTTAAGAAGTTTATGTACTTGGGGTTGTCCTTTGGATTTATTTTCCACTGCTTTCTACTACTTCTATAATGAAGTACTTGACTTCATTGTCATAGGAAAGATCCTAAGACGCATTAACCACAGGGCCTAGCATTTATTCCTGTTGTTCTGTGAAACTGCTTGCCATGCATGTTTGTTTTACCTATCTATATGCTTGTGCTGTTATTTTGCAGATAGAAGTCCCCAGTTCAAGAATATTGAAGGTGCTGTGCTGATCTTTTTACCAGGCCTTGCTCATATCCAGCAGCTGTATGATCTCATTTCAACTGACAGAAGATTTAACTTGCACGACAGGTAATGCAGATGTTTTTTGTAAAGTTAATACTCTTATGTTACAACGCAGCAAACATATACATTAATGTTTGCTGTTCTTGTAAAAGGCAAGTGAAAGTTACGCCTCTGAGCTAATGGTGCTACAAATGTACTTTTACTACAATGCAAATGTACTCTTACTGCTATAGTCTAAAAGTTATTCAAGCAACAATGACAGATACTTAGGAATGGTATGGTATATTTTCTTCCATTGTTTTCTGTTTTATTCTTCAACCAATTTATGTAATCAAAAGCACTTGACTACTTCTTTTCCACTTCTTAGGGTATGGAAGCTGCCATACCTGGGATACAGATTTCTGTGGCTTACTGTTTACATGGAAGTGACTACTTCCTGAGAAGTAGTCTGGATCTGGATCTACCAAGAGAAATGGCCTAGGGTTGTAGTGACAGATAATTTCAAAATTTTTTGGGGATAACTAAAAGTTAGCAGCACAACTGCATAAAAGGAACAATTGCAGTCAAATGCTAAATATTTGTGGATGGACTGAGGTGTAAAGGTCTGGAAGAGAAGGAAAGTACCAGTCTCTGTGGTGGTCTCAATGAGAGACCTCTATTACTCAAAGTTGCACGTATTTGTTATGGTCATTTTCTCGGAAGCACAATTTAAAGAACCTGGGTTTACAAACAGCTAGCTCCCTTTATTGCTAGACTGTTATTGTAAAGTAACAAGCAGTTCTGCATTACTATTTTTACTGAATGGGAGAACATCCCAATTAACTAATTAGGTTATTTTTTGTAGCTATTGCAATAAAACAATGAAGCAGACTTTCATATGTAATCATACAAAGTTTTACTCGTTTGATTGTGTATCCTTCTCCACATGTTGTCATTATACTGGTCTTATATTTTTACTCCATGTTATTTGATAAATGTGTATTTATTATTACAATTTCTTGTTCTAGGCACAGATTGATAGCTTTGCATTCTGTTCTTTCAACACAAGATCAAGCAGCTGCATTTACAATACCTTCTCTTGGTATTAGAAAGGTAATATTTACAAAGTTCACAACTGAAAAGAGAAATTTTCTGTGGGTGCAACTCTGAATTGTTATAATACAGAATTAAACAACAGCTGGGTGTTCCTAGAATTTCCTCACTGCAAAAAACAATTCTTATTTAGTGGTCTGTAATGGATAGAAGATAATATGCTGTGGAAATGTTGACAGTATTGGACAAATTCTTAAACCTAAAATTTTTCTGTAATCTTCCTTAATTATGACTTACCTGTATATTAACTATTGTTAGCCAGTAACTATGGCTTTTATCTTGGAGAAATACTATTTTATTTACTGCCAAACTGTGTAATTAAATATTGATCAATTTTGGCAGGTACTAAGCAGTAATTGTGGTGTATTATAAAGCAAAATGTGAATGTGAAATTATTTCTTAACTTTTAATTTCTCTTCTTGGGGAAAACTAGACCTTTTCCAAGTCATGTAGGTTTTCATTATTTGTCAGATTATTTAAGGAAACATTTCTGGGTAAAAAAAATTTAACCAGACTTACTCCATAATAGTGATGTAAAGATTGAAACCTGTTGCACATTCCAGTTCTTCTTTTAATGTTATGTTACTCTTTCCAGATTGTTTTGGCAACCAATATAGCAGAGACAGGTATCACAATACCAGATGTTGTCTTTGTAATTGATACTGGGAGAACAAAAGAAAATAGGTGAGAGTTTGATTTTCATCAGTCACACTGTGATTACTGTAAATATTTGGAGGATAGAGCTGCAAGGATTTTGTAGTATCTTTATGAACTTAGAGCAATCCTTTTTGTAATTATCTATTAATTAGAGTTCTGCATGCAGAAATGTGCTGAGCTCATTTGAAAGCTTGCAGTTTTGGGTACAGGTTTGGGATGTATGTTTGAAGTTTCAAATGGTGAGAAGAGCAAGGGAAGTTCATAGATAATGGATATAATGTATGGATAATTATGATCAAGTACTGTTTTAAAAATGAATAAAGTACTTTTTATGCTATCTCAGGTTTTGAAAGTTATTTTTCTTCACTTTAAATGTGAAAATCCCGACACAATGTGTTAGAATGGTTCTGAATTGCCAAGGTGATGAAACAAAAAAGCTTTCATTTTCCAGTTTTTGTGCTTTCACTAGTGACTTGTATTCAAGGTATTATAATATACAGTTCCTCCCAGATATGCTTGGTTTTCGAAACTAAATGTATTTTCAAAAATTGCTCATTAGATATATTGTCAATGTGCTGGTGTTCAGGTAATATATACATGAAAATTTCATTTCTGAAATCTGTATCTGCTTTATAATGTTTAAGGTATCACGAAAGCAGTCAGATGAGTTCCCTGGAAGAGACCTTTGTTAGCAAAGCTAGTGCTCTGCAGCGGCAAGGAAGAGCTGGCCGTGTTAGGGATGGGTTCTGCTTCCGAATGTACACGAGAGACAGGTATTGTGAGCTTAGCAAAATTTTGTAAATCACATCAATACCGTGGGGTTTTTTCTGTGCAAATCCAAGAATTCTTGTTGAAAATCACTTTACTTACTGCAAATCAGAAAGATAAAACTGGAAAAAACTCAACCAAAACAAGAATTTGAGTGTCACATGTGTAAATTGTTAAGAGTAGCCTTTCACACTTTTTGAAAAAGTTAATTTTATTCTTAATATTTCTGTAGTGTGTTTTTTAAAAAAACTTCATAATTAAAGGAAAAGTGCAGCACAGGAAATTGTAGAACATCTATTTTTTACAACTCTTGATTGGCTTACATCAAATGTGTGCAAACCTTACCTCCTAAACTTTGAATTTTTTATCAGACAAATCTGTAGGCTTCTGAGGAGGTAATCTCTATGGATTAGATGGGGGCACTGCAGAATTAGTTTCTGTTACTGCAGTGGAATAATCTTTTTCCTCCTTCTGTGAAAACCTAAAGTAACTTTCAGCTGAGAAAGAATTAACATTAAAGTCTTTTGATCTAACCAATGAAGTGTGTGCCTTTTAGCCCCCGAAAAGGCTTTTCAGTTGGAAAGCATTTTACAGACTTGTTTTGAAAATTAGGGTTTCCTGCCTTTCTCTCTCTAAAACTTGTTTTCAAAGCTACAACACATACCTTAATTCAAAGTATGAATGGCTTGGCCGTGCTACTCCCTTCCCTGCCCCTCAAGAGAAAAACTGCAAAGAATGACTAAGTAAAAACCAGATTTACAAGTTTAATTCAAAGATTTAGTTGAATATATATTTTGTGATGTTGCAGGTTTGAAAGCTTCATGGAATATTCTGTTCCAGAAATACTGCGTGTGCCTTTGGAGGAATTATGCCTTCATATTATGGTACAATTTTTGATTTTAGAATTGCTAACCTTGTGTGGTGGTTTGTTGACAATGACTGGATGTTGGGTGGCCCCAAAGGTCCTCTATTACCCTCCACCTCAGGTGGATGGGAGAGAAAATATAACAAAAGGTTCATAGCTAGAGATAAGGACACAAAGAGATGACTCACCAGTTGCTGTCCCAGCAAAACAGACTTGATTTGTGGAAATCAATTGAATTTATAACCAATTAAGTTAGAGTAGGTTAAGTAAGTAAAAAGTTCTCTTCCCTGTTTCCTGGCCTTAACTTCATTTCCCAATTCCCTACTTCCTATCCTCCATCAGCAGGGAGATAGGGAATGACAGTTTTGATCAGTTTATCACAGATTTCTGCTGCTGATTCCTCCTCAGAGAAAGGGAGGACTCCTTCCTCTGCTCAATCTTGGGGTCACTTCCACTGGAGACAGTCCTTTACAGTGTGAATCCTTCCCACAGGCTGTAGTTTTATATTAACTGCTCCAGCATGGAATCTCCCTCAGGGTCATAAGTTCTGTCAGCAGACCTGCTGGTGGTCTCCTCTCATCATGGTGCCACAGATCCTGCCAGGAACCTGCTCTATTGTGAGCTCTCTACAGGGTCACAGCCTCCTTCAGGCATCCACCTGCTTGAGTGTGGGGCTCCATGAACTGACCAAAGACCTCCATGAACTACAGGGGAGCAGCCTTCCTCACCATGGACTGTAGCAGCTGGAGAACCTCCTCCCCTACTTTATTCACTGTTTTTAGTGTCTTCAGACTTGTTCTCACCTCTTCGTCTCTGGCTGCAGTTTGTTTCTGTGCAGTAACTTCTCCTGGAGGCATGATCACCATCACTGATTGGCTCAGCCTTGGGCAGTGGGTCTGCCCTGGAGCTACCTGGCATTTTCTAGATGTAGGGAGAGCTGCTCTCTCAGCTTCCCACCAAACTCACCCGTGCAGCCCCTACTACCTGAACCTGGCAACGCAAGCCAGTACATCTTGTTAGCTAAAAATACTATGCATGCCTCTGGACAAATTACGCCTTCATACTATTGTCTGTTTTGGAATTATTGACCCTAGTAGCTGAAAAGGTTTCTTACTACAAACCCAGTCCAATGCAGTTACTTAGTGGGTCTTCTCATACATGTACATATCAGCACTTGATGCTGTAAAATACAAGCATGTTGTTCACAGAATAGTGATTATGAATATGATTCCAGTTTGCCTCAGAATGACAATTTTAAACTCTGTTAATAGCTTTCTGATTGATTTCTGTTTAAGGGAAAAATTCCATTACCTGTCTCCATGTCTTAAGTGATTAGGATGTGCATAGGAAAACTAGCAACCTGGCAAATTAGTGCTGGGTTGAACTGCAGCCCATCAGGATTGAGAGTCCCCTGCTCATCAGTGATCACTGGTAACACACTTCTCTGAACAGTGGTCATGCCATATGAAGTTTTTTCCAAACAGTGAAGTTTTGTTAACCTAATGTGGGGCATGTCAGCCTTCCAGGAAGCAAGATGCTTGTTTGGTCGGGAGGGAATGTGAACTTTTGATGCATGATCAGTGTTCCAGTTTTCTGTGTAGCTAACTTTTTTATAATAATTTTTTATATTGAAATATATGTCCCTTTACTTCACAGAAATGCAGTCTTGGCTCTCCTGAAGATTTTCTTTCTAGAGCATTAGATCCCCCACAGCAGCAAGTAATTGGTAATGCAATGAATCTTTTGAGGAAGATTGGCGCTTGTCAGCTAAACGAGCCCAAGTTGACTCCGTTGGGTCAGCACCTTGCAGCCCTTCCTGTTAATGTAAAGATTGGCAAAATGCTTATATTTGGCGCTATATTTGGCTGCTTGGATCCTGTGGTGAGTAAAAAAAAAAAAGGATATTTTAAAAGGTATAGAATAGAAATTATTAATAATAGAAATTATTAATTCTTTGCAATTAGTCTAATTTCTTGTAATATGGTATTTTGAAAAGATGATGCTAGTTAAAATGTTTACTTTAGGGTGAGGGCACCCAGACATCATGGAGGGGAATAATATAAGTGTTCTGTATGGTTGGACTCAATGATTTTTAAGGTCTTTTCCAACTCAAAGTGGTTCTGTGATTCTAAATTCCTAGGTACTCTCCACAGTGGATAATCAGGCTTGCTCTCCAGGTTTTTTGTTTCAGTCATCAATGGCAACTACTTTTATGGCAGTCAGGTGAAGTCCCAAGTGACTGGGAAAGGGGAAACATAGTACCTGTCGTCTTTTAAAAAAAGTAGAAAAATGGGGCCTTGGGAGCTTCTGAACTGTCAGCTTCAATTCTCTACCTGGGAAGATGGTGGAAGAGATCCTCCTAGAAATATAGTGTTGCACTTGGAGGAAAGGTGATTCAAGACACCAGCATGAGCTTAACCAAGGGCAAGTCCTGCTTGACCAACCCAATAGTCTTCCATGGTGGAGAGTCCACATCAGTGGACAAGGGAAAGGCTACATACTCATTTATCTGGATTTCTGGAAAGCCTTTACCATGGTCCCCCATCTAAACTGGGGAGAGATGGATTCAGAGGGTAAACTATTAGGTGGATAAGAAAGTGGCTGCACAGTCCCATCCAGAGGCTCGTGATCAAGGGCTCAGTGTCTTGATGGCCGTGGGTGACAAGTAGTGCACTCAGAGTTCTGTACTGGGACCAGAGTTATTTAATATCTTCATCAGTGACATAAGACAAAGGGATAAACTGCACCCTCAGCAGATTTGCAGATGACCCCCAACTGAGTAGTGCTGTTGACACACCTGAAGGATGGGATGTCATCCAAAGGGACCATCAGAGGTGGGCAGATGTGAAGCTCACAAGGCCAAGTGCTGGTGCTGCACCAGAGCAGGACAACCCCAGATATCAGCACATGCTGGGGATGAACAGACCCAGAGCAGCCCTGGGGAGATAAAATTGCGGCTGCTGGTGGGTGAGAGGCTGGACATGACCCAGCCATGGGCACTCCCAGCCCAGAGAGCCACACGTGTCCAGAATCCCATGCCTCTCCTGCTGCCCGCACCGCTCTGGATGCAGCCCACTGGCAGCAGGGGAGGGAGGGGATTCTTCCCCTCTGCTGTGCTTTCATGAGACCCCACCTGCAGTGCTGGATCCAGCTCTGGTGGCCCCAACACAAAAAGGATGTGGATCTGATGAAGTGAGTCCAGAGTTTATCACAAAGATGATCAGAGAGGATTGGAGTACCTCTTCTTTGAGGCAGCTGAGAAAATTTGGGTCGTACAGCATGGAGAAAGGGCTTCAGCATTACCTAGTTGCAGCTTTTCAGTATCTGAAGGACATTGAGGAGGAACTTCTTAAAGGGGCATATGGTAACAGGACAAGAGGGAATGGGTTTGAACTAAAGGAGCATTTTGTTTGATTCAATATTAGGAAGAAATTCTTTACTGTAAGGGTGGTGACACTGCAACAGGTTGCCCAGGAAGTTGTGGATGTCCCATTGCTACAGGTGTTCAAGGCTGCATTGAATGGGGCTTTGAGCAACCTGGTTTAGGGGAAGGTGTCCCTGCCTAAAGCAGGGGCTTGAAACTAGATGATCTTTAAGGTCCTTTGCAACCCAAGCCCATAATTCTAAGATAATGATAAAAGAAGAATTTTGTTATAAGCTTACAGATTTATAACACAAAAATAGCCTGAGATTTTCTAAGTGATGTGTCCTGAAAAATTACAGGCAACTTTGGCTGCTGTTATGACAGAAAAATCCCCATTTACTACACCTATTGGTCGAAAAGATGAAGCAGATCTTGCAAAATCATCTCTCGCTATGGCGGTTTCAGACCATATAACAATCTACAATGCTTATCTGGGGTAAGTGATGATTCTCCTATGCTCATAACTAGTAACAGATAACAGATAATACAGTTATGTAAAGAATCCTTAATATTTTTTAAATGCTTTCATTTCAAGTTTTTTCTGTTCAGAGTAACAGTAGATTGCCAAGTACTGTAACACAAAGGGACAGTTTGCTTAGTGTTTTGGTTTTCAATACCTTTTAACTATGCCTGCTTACATACAGAAGTTTACTGTGTCAGTTTATCCTAGTGTTTTGTTTGCTGTTTGTGGTATTTTGACCAGAATATTTTGTATTTGATAAAGCACAAATGTATAAAATTATATACAAATGTATAAAATAACATACAGGTTTTTTCCTCTTTAGGGTATTACCACTAAGTCTGAATTTTGTTTTGACTGTCCAGAGAGACAGAAATGTGTGGGGGTTGAGAGTAAATCACCTTGTATCTGTCAAATCTACATAACAGTTGTGTTCTTTAGAGTGTCCTTAGACCAGCAGAATTCATTTTGAAGCACATTTTTCTTTTTTAACTTAGTGCCTCTTCTGTTGCAGTGTTGATGGGTTTCTTGCTATAATAAGACATTCGCTATTTTTTCCTTAGGTGGAAAAGGGCCCGACAAGAAGGGGGATATCGTGCTGAAATGACTTATTGCAGAAGGAATTTCCTTAATAGGACTTCACTGTTAACTCTGGAGGTAAAACTTAACTTTATGAGTACAGAGCATAATATTTGTTGAAATTTCCCTCTGAAAATGTCATTCTCTTTTAAAGACATGATATATGGCAGTTACTGTTTGGACAACATAAAAGCGAATGGAATTTAGGTACTGATGAAATGCACACTCTAAATCAAGGTAGCTGCATCTGTATTTGAGTTTTGGATATGCACACTTTGGTAAACAGCTTTGTAGTCACTGCCATTGGAGAAGCTAGGACTTACTTTCATCAGAGAATCAAAACTTCATGAATTAAAATATTTATATTATTCTTGATATCAAATAACAGTAAGATGAGCCACAAACACACATGAATGGCCTCTTATTTTTGGCGAGAAATTGTTTTTATTGATCTTTCCTATTAAGTTTGGTTTACTGAGTACTTCTAAGCAGAATTGGATCTTTGATGCAAATGTATCTTTTCATTTTAACTACACGTAGAGATTTTATCATAGAAATAGCTAGGATTCCAGTGTGGCTGCAGAAAATACAAGTGATTATTCTAGTAAGGCATTTCCCCTGGAGAACATGAATCATTCAGATGAAGTGTCATTTCCTGCTGTTGAGGTGGAGTATGTAACTTTTTTAATTCAAAACTTTACTAATACTATCCTAATTTCAGGATGTGAAGCAAGAACTCATAAGGGTGGTCAGAGCAGCAGGGTTTACAGCACCTTCAACACAATGTGGAGGGGATGGAAATGGAGCCACACAGTCCCTGTCTCTCAGTGAAATAGCTCTTCTTAAAGCTGTGTTGACTGCAGGGCTGTATGACAACATAGGAAAAATACTATATGCAAAGTCTGTGGATATTACAGAGAAGCTGGCTTGCACGGTAGAAACTGCTCAGGGTAAAGCTCAAGTTCATCCCTCTTCTGTAAATCGAGATTTGCAGACTTATGGATGGCTGCTTTACCAGGAGAAGGTAAGTTGAAGATAGTGAATGTAGCTAGTAGTTTGTGTAAAGGTGGAGTTCTGCCTCTAGTATACTTCAAACTAGTGTATGCTATTTAATATCTAATTGTTTTATGTTAAAGAGTCTTATTATCTAATGATCCTAAAGTCCATAAAAGTGGATCAACTGAGTGCTGAAGAAAAAGAAGGTGAAGCTGAAGGTCATGCACAAATTTGTTCATGGTGAAGCTGATAGCCATAAATGGAAGGCATTTTCTGTGTATCATTTAACTTAATAGTATTATTGATTTTTTTTAAATACAGTCTTACTGATTTTATTAGCACTTTACACAGTAATATGTAACAGTAACTTTTCAAAGTCTGCTTTGTTACTGTTCTGAGGTTTTGAAACTTGGTACTGACATACACCAGTAATAAAATAAAAGAGCCAATTCTGTAATGGACAGCTAAACTCCCTAAGTGAGTTGCATTTTTTTTTAACTTCTTTCCTCTTCAATTGAAAATCTTGTCAGCTATTTGCTAAACTGAAGTGTTTGTATTGTATTTAGTTATACTTCCGGTACAACAGAAGTTTGACAGTTGTTTAATGGTCAGATTTACTGTGGAGAAGCAGAAAGTATTAGACTTTTTAATGCATATAAAGTGATAGTATTTTTTGAGAATTGAAAATATTTCCTGACGCCCAAGAACATCATAGTGGGATGACAAGACAGCAGCTAAGGTTGGTAAATTATTCCATGAAGATTGGGGCAAACTAAGCCTGCACTTTTCTATGAAGATGCACTCTTCTTCTGTCCATTTTTCTCACTACAACTCATTTCACCCCATTCTGTCTTTATTTGGGATGTTCCAAAGCCAGAATCAGCATATGCTGAACCCCATACTTCATGCAGTGTGTGTGTCTGTGTGTACCACATTTAAGCATGTGCATATGTTGATATAGATAAAGTGATAAAATCGTTCCCAAGAATGTATAATGAAAGAGCTTTGCCTGCCTTTTGCTTCAGTAGAGTTACTACTTCTAGTGTTGCTGTTAGGTTAATGTTATGGTTAATGTTATGTCTCTATTTGAGCTTTAAGAAGATTACTGTGGCTTTAGCTAGCTTCTGGCATATAAACCTGTCACTTATTTAGAATGAGTTTTTTAATGTGGTGTAAGGCAGACAGATAGCTATCGATTGCAATAACTTGTTTTGGTTGCATCTTGAAAAAGGAAAAAAGTGTATTTCTTGCTTGTAGAAGTAGCAAACAAATTTAGTGTTGTAGAATGTTATGTGATTGGGATTTTTTGTTGATGTTTTAATTGTTTGTGTTTGTTTATATGCAGGTGAGGTATGCCAAGGTGTATTTGAGAGAAACTACTTTAATATCCCCCTTTCCCATTTTGCTTTTTGGTGGGGATATAGAAGTCCAACATCGCGAGCGTCTCCTGACAGTTGATGGTTGGATCCATTTTCAGGTGCACTGGAGTTATAACTAATCACCTTTTGTGATTCCATGAGCTTTTATACTACATAGTTAATACATTAGTTTGATTCAGATCACCGTACATACGGTGACAATGGAGATGGAGACAAGAGGGAAGAAAGGGGAGAGAATTTAAGATAATTATGGGAAATTTTATATACACTTAATGAAATCTTAATAAATCACACTTAAAAGAATAGACTTGTCATACGTGGTGTGCAACAAATCAGTTCCCTCTCTCTTCAAGAAGAAAGTGTTTTTTCAGAAAAGGTATTAAAAATGGGTGCAGACTAAACCTTTTTTTATAAAGCTTGTACTAAAAGCAGAGGAGTGTACTGTTTTTATATTACCCTTTCTTATAATTTTAAAATCTTGTAACTGCGTATTTATCTTTAGCATGCTACTGTATATACTGTTCTATTGTGCAGATAGAATTGTTTGAAAAAAAAAATCCAAATTGTAAAATAGCTGCTTACTTGGGTTTGGGGTGTTTGGTTTTATTGATTTGTTTTTTTCCTTTCTGCATGTATAAGTTTTACTTGGAAACTGGAAAACTAAGAGCACTTTCCTAGCTTATTTTTGCAGACAAAATAGTTGTCATAAAAAGATCCTCTGTAAATTTTGATAAATGGCAAGTTATGCTATCCAGGCAGCTACATGGTTACAATTTTCTGTGCTCCTTCTGTGCTCTGGTCCTTGTGCTACTCTCAAAGACAACTGTAATAAAAACAATTTTTTGCAGTCTGTTGATCCAAGTAAGCAGTCATGTAATTTAATTCACCGATTTACATGAACAATGAATTTTAGCAAGCAGGTCCCTTGTGGATTTGTTAGAGATTCTTTTTCTGGTCCCTGGGTGGCTATAGTTGTGCAGTTGCTTGGCTAATCACATCTTACAGTGTTTCAGGATTTCTACTTTTCTACTGAGATGCTAAGCAAAATACCTTGCATTTTGCACTTCTGCTATAGCAACTACTTGTTGTAGCAAAGGCAGAATATAAATGAAATAAAGATTGAAATAGGGAGGAAAGGATAAAATTAAATATTTTTGGGTGCGGGTTCATGTTTAGGTATCCAAATTTATAGTGAGATATAGAAAAGGCTTGTGATTGCCTTGGCAGACCTCCCAAGAGGCAAATGCATAGCTGTTTTATTTCAGATATAGATGTAATTTGAACTTTGTTACCTTGGGGAGTAAAAAGGCAAATAATTGGGCAGCTTATTGGTGAAGTAATAATTTCCTCTTATGCTGGTTGTGTGGGAACACATTCTAAGTTACCCTTCTCAGCTGCTGTTCTTCAGGCTTTGATACTATGAACAACTGGTGCCTAAAGCTATGGCATAATGTAAGGGCAGTCATTTAATGAGTACAGTATATATCATGATTATCATTACCATTAAAAATCACATATGTGCATCATGTTTGCAAGAATCTTGTTATAAACTCTTGTTTATATGTAGGGTAAAATTTTGATCTATATTTTAGTGTGAAATGTCTGATGATGAAATGTTTGTCTTTCTTTATAGGCTCCTGTTAAGATAGCAGTAATTTTCAAACAGCTGAGAGTTCTCATTGAGTCTGTTTTGAAAAAGAAGCTTGAAAATCCCAAGATGTCACTTGAAGGTAACTTATTGCTGGCAGTACTCTTTGTTAAATGGACCTTGTAGCAAAACTGAGGAACAGTTAGTACACTGTGTCCTCACACAGTAGCATGTGTGACATGAAAGTTCCATTAAGAGGCTTCCAGAAAGTCATTACTAACCCTGCATGTATTGTGTGGCTCACCTCAGATGTACAAAGATCTGCACAGCTGCCATTTTAAAGATATCCCTGGTAACAGCATTCAAGGTAGTGGTAGTAATGGTGAGGTAAGCATCTCAAAATAAAATGGAGATTATGTGTGAAGAATCCTAGGCATAGATGATTTATAAGTGTTGTGCAAGTTATCTCAAAATCAATATTAACCAACGGCATGTTGATTCCCAAAAGTAAGGGATAGCAGAGCACAGTTTAAAATTTGGACACTGGATGTTCAGGAGCATATTGTAGGTGGGGAAGAAAGGGAGTTCTGTATGCTGATGTATCTGGAGTTAACCCACGACTTTCCCAATCTCTTGTGGAATACTGAAATGGTCATCAGCAATTCATCAGATCATTTTATGATGATGTACTGTGTATGTACTGTTTGTCCTTTTGCTTGCCAAATGGTAATCACTTGTTTTGCTTTAGATTCTGGCATAGCCTAAAACATTAGAATTTTAAGTTGCCGAGAGCTGGACTTCTCTTACAATTTTTGGCATTTTCAGAATCAATTTGCACTTTTTCACACTGTGGTTTTTTTTTTCTTTTCTAGATGACAAGGTCTTATACATCATCAAGGAGCTGATAAAAACAGAAAACAGTAACTGAAATCAGAAATCAGTAACAAATCAGAGCTTCAGTAATTGCAGGGGAAATACGCATTCCAACACTAATTGGAAGTATTTAAATTCTTAGTGTGGTTGATCTCAGCCACGATGGGGATAGACTGCATGATTTTGCATAGGATCAGCCTTTCTTTTTATCAATTTTACGATGAATATTGAATATGTTTAGCCTTTACACTATATTTGGTGCCATTTGTCTTGACTGTATGAATGATAACTGCAAGCAGTTTGTTTAAACTATGAACTGTTCACAGCCATTTCTCTTTTTTAACTTAATGTGCTAATCATACCATCAGTACAATGTGTACTGATGATTGAAGATTCGATCCTGAATCTCAGTTGAGTAGAATTCCATTTATGCAAACAAAAGACAAATGTTTCTCCTATGGGTTACCTAAGTGATGAATTTTTTTTTTTTAACTAAATTTACAGTATTAAACCAAGACATCTTAGAGAAGTCCTAATTTTTCTGTATGATTTGTGTTGAGAAGATGCTCTATAAGCTTCTATAAGATTGAACTGCTGTGAATGAGTGCTCAGCGAGATGTGTAGTGACCAGCAGCTCCTCCCAAGGAGGGGGATGTGCCTCTTCGCACAGTTATTCCTCCCTGTTTACCCTGATCCTTGCAACTCCTGCAACTTTTATTATACTTTTTTGTGTGTTAAGTTTTGCATAGTTCTCCAGGCCCCCTTCAAGAGATGATCATGTGGTTTTTCTCCATTTATTGATCAAAATTCACATTTACCCTCTTCAAGGAAATACCAGAGAAGTTCCTAGTGGAAACATCCAGTGGCAGTTTTCTTCTACTCTACTTGCCCACAATGACTGGATGTCTGTGTGATCCTTTGTTTCTTGTTTCTTTAATACTGAATAATCCTTAACTGAATAGTTTAATGAATCAGATGGTCTCACCTTCCACCTATCCACACTATTTCTAATTATGAAGTACAGTTTTAAATTGCCAACTTAGCTTCAAGAATAGGGGATATATTGGTGGGGAGGATCTGCCATTAAACAGTTGCAGTCAAATAAGAACTGTCTTCACAGACAGAAGCACAGTGTAGATGACAACTTTTGTTTAATCTGAAAAATAAAGATTTTATACAGCAGAGGTTAATCACGTACAGGAAGGGCATTCAGGAAATTGAATGCATAAAAATGCAAAATACATGGAGCCTATCCATTTAGATTATGACAGCAGAACTGGTATTGCTGTCCAGCTTGTGCACATTAGCTTGCACCAATTCTGGAAGAGGAAAGCTTTTTGCTAACAGCTCTGAAGTAATGGGGATCATATCTGTTATTCTTTTATGCATTATGATAATGTAGTGGCAGTCCCGATTTCATAGGAGACAGGAAGTAACTTTTGGGGTTTTTTTTTGCAACACCTGTGGGAACTCAGCACATCAGTCCTGATGTGCAGAGTCACCGAGACAACCCTTGGGGGGGCTCGGAAGTCCTGGAACGTGGGCAGAAGTGCTTGGTGGCTGGACTTTGATCCTGCACTGGACGCAACACCTGTATGAGGATGGGAGGATCACACGGGGATAAATGGTGAAGGGATAGATTAATTATAGAGTGAAAACACAGGTTTTGGAATCTTGGTACAGGGGGGTTCTAGGAGACAAGATGGAGGAATTAGGGCATGTCCTGTCCTTCTTCTTCTTCTTGTCCTCCATCTTCGGTGGTGATGGTGGCACTTTGAGATTGGTTCTTACTGAATGTGCACTTGTCAATAAGGTAAGGTATTGGGAGGAAAAGGTAAATATCTTACACATGGTTTTTGGTATAAAAATAAGCGGCCGCCCCGAGGGAGGTCAGTGTGCTCATGGCTGGCTTGCTGTGCGGACCTCTGTCAGGCCGGGAGAAAATATTGTAGATAAGAATTAATAAACAACACTGAAGAACTGAAAAACCTGAAGACTCCTTTCGTCCTTTGGAGCGCGGGCTGCCCCAAGGCCATCCAGAGCCTTACCAGGCCATTTCAACAGCCAAGACAGGACAAACACCATTTAGGCGAGGAAGCATTTGAACAGGAAGTTTTGATCTTAGATCTTAAGATCTCAACTTTATCTTCAGTATTCCCACACTGAAATCAAAACCTGCAAATTTTATTCATTGAAGATATAAACTAAATCTGTACCCTAAACAAATTTCCTATGTTTTATTTTGGTTGAGATGGCTTTTTTGATGTTTTGGTTGAGATGTTTTATTTGTATCCTTTGGAAACAGGAAATAGAAAAATATCTCAGTAATTCAGTTATTAGCAAGCTGCTCTTTCTTTTGGGTTTGAATTTTGCAAATGCGTTGTTGGTCTTAAATGGTTAAATCCTAGGGAAAGTGTGAATTGTGTTTGAGTTCTTCTCCCTTATCCAACTGTGATAAATGAGAGGTTTTTTTCCATTTATAGGTGGTAATGTTGAAATTCAGAGTTATTATTTGTGTTTCTCTAGCATGCTGTGCTTTGTAATCTCCTAAATAAAGACTGAAATAAATTAAGGGGATATATTGTAATAACTGGGAAATTAGATGGTCTTCTGTGTGAGCAACGGTTTTCTGTAAAACAAATGAGGGAGGTCACACTGTGGTGTACAGTTAAGCACAGTTAACTTTTAAAAGAAAAAACTAAAAAAAAAGAAAAACCCAGGAAACAAAAAAAATAGATGCTACACTGGCTTTCTGCTTCTGCAGTACACATGAGCAACTTTTGTGCCTGTATTCTTTTTGGTGGATGAACTTTCTCTTTTGCTCTATTTATTTAATAAAGACTTCTGTTAACACTTCTGTGTTACTTTTCTCAAAGCATTTGTCAGACACAAGACTATTCAGTATCTCCGGATCTTTGTCACCATAATCTCAACTGTGGTCTGCAATGTGTTCTTTCTGTTTTTTAAAGGCATCATGTTCTCCTGGTCTCTATCCTCACTTTGGAGAGGAGTTCCTCTTCCTGCTATTCACGCTGTAGACTTCCCACCTCCTCCCGTGTTTCTTCTGTGTCGTTGGCTTCTTGAAGCTCTTGTTTCCTACTGCCATCTTTCCCAGTGCTTAACCCAGAAGAGGTTTTCTTTCTCCTGGTCTTTCCACATCTATAGCACACTATAAATGGGTGGAGTGCAGAACTGTTTTAATTTCCCTGCATTCAGCTGTTTAAAATAGTGCCCCATCACATAAATAGTCCATGGATGAAAGCATAACTGAGACCCAGATTGCATCACGAGCTCCAGCATTCTTGGCTTTCTCCCCTGCTGTCCTCCTGTGCTGTTTCTGGTGACCTGTACTGGAAGTGTTATGTACAGGCAGTGATGGGTAGTTGTTAAAGCTCGCGAGGTTCTGAGCTGAACTGCTAGGAGCTGGAGAGACGCCTGCGTTGGTAATGGCAAAATCGAGGCGGCAGCTTCAGCTGGCCGCATTTGTGGGTTTACGGCACAGCTGTCTGGTTTGCTGTCTGTGCCGCGGGAGAGCGAGGAGGCTGAGGTCGGGAGGGCACGTGGCGACTCCACAGCCTTTTTGCCCGAGGGCAAGCGGCAGAGAAGAGACAGACGTTTCAGTGGCTCGGATTTTGTTTTGGAGACGGTGATCCCCTAAGTGCCCAGACGACGGGACGGGCGGGGCGGGGTGCCCGGGAGGCGGGCGGTGACACCTTTGGCGGCCCCCGCTCTGCTCAAATAGCCAGTGCCGCGACCGGAGCGGACCCGGCACGGCCGCCCACCCCATGGTGACGGCGGCGGGCGGGCGGTGCGGCGGCACTCCGGAGCGCCGGGGGCCCGGCGGCTCCCCTGGGGGCTGTCCGCGGCGCCCGGTGCGGCGGCGGCGCCTGGGGACGGGGGCGGCGGCGGCGGCGGCGGAGAACGCGCAGGAGCTGCAGGCTTTCCGCGACTACGGGGAGAGCTGGTACCGCTCCCGCAAGGGGCTGGAGAGCCGCTTCCAGCCGCGGGAGCCGCTCGCCCGGCAGCCGCAGGTGGGGGCAGCGGGGCCGGCGGCGGGAAATGGGCGGGGGAGCCCGGGGTCGGCCCCGCCTGATCCCCACTGCCGGTGCCGTAGGTGACGGCAGAGGCGCGCTGCAAGCTGGTCAGCTGGCTCATCCCCGTGCACCGGCATTTCGGGCTCTCCTTGGAGGCTCTCTGCCTGGCCGTCAACATCCTCGACCGCTTTCTCGCCACTACCCCGGTGGCCGCCGACTGCTTCCAGCTCCTGGGTGTTACAGCGCTGCTCATCGCCTGCAAACAGGTAGGGGCGATCCCGGCTGCCCCGCACCGGGGGTGGCGGCCCGCTGAGGCCGGCCTGAGGGCGCCTTGGACAGGCCGGGCTCCGCGCCAGCTCCCGGCGGCAGCGCCCTCACTCCTGTCCCCGCCCGCAGGTGGAGGTGCACCCTCCTAGCGTGAAAGAGCTCCTCGCCCTCTGCTGCGACGCCTTCACCCGCCAGCAGTTCCGCAACCTGGAGTGCATCGTCCTGCATCGCCTGGACTTCGACCTGGCGGCGCCCACCGTCAGCTTCTTCCTGGAGCACTTCAGCCGGGTGCGGCTGGAGGCGCGGGGGGCCGACGCGGGGGAGGCGGCCGATGCCCGGAGCCTGGCGGCGGGCGTGGCGGAGCTCAGCCTGGCTGACTATGCCTTCACCAAATACGCGCCCTCTCTGCTGGCCGCCAGCAGCCTGGGGCTTGCGGACCGGCTCCTGCGCCACCGCAGCCCCCTGGACCTGCGAATCAGCGGCTACCCAGAAGGGCTCCTGCGGGACTGCATGGACCAGCTTCAGCTCCTGGTGTCTCTGAACGGGCGGTCCCTGTCTCTCCTCCTGCCCTCGGAGGTGGCCCAGAAGTGCCCCTGGCTTGGAGATGACCGCTGACAGCGGGTGGTGGTGGAGACGGCTCTGGCTCGCCGTTTGTGCTCCACAAAGTCGGTGCAGTGTGATCCACTAAGCCTTAGTGTCATTGGAGCTTAAAAATTAGATGGCGTTTTTCAAACGGTTTTATGTGTCATGTTATCTGCACAGTCCCTTTGCTGTATTCTTTTAAGTCAAGCATGTAAATATTGTACTGAATCTCACGTACTGTGTTATTTAAATGGAGGGTGGTCCATAAAGATAACATAAGGACCAACTGAATATTGAGTAAACTCTTTTCTGTTTGTTACATCTATACCTTTATTGGCTGGCAGCAGGCAGACCCATCTGGGAGAGGAAACACATTGGCACATAACGAATTCGCCCTGTCAGTTAACACAATCCCTCACAAA